GGAAAAATCATCAGCAGAAAATTTGAAACTCGGAATCTGCGCAAGCACCTTCGGCGATGGATGACCCAAACGTTTGTGCCACACTTCAAAAGAATGAGTATCCAACGTCCTGACTGCTGCGAGATTCGCTGCGCTTATGAAATAATAAAGTCCGGCTCGCATTTCACCCGCTCCAATCGGCGTCTTTGTAGTGCGGTCCTGGATGATACAGAAGTTTGGAGCAAATGTCACAAAACAATCACAGTCAGCCAAGAGTTGTGAAATGGAGATCAAGTTCGTATGAAGCCCAGGAACATATAAAACGTTCGACATTCGGAGATGGCTGCTGAGAATGACCGATCCAGATAACACAGATAATACTCGTCGACCATCAGGTAGGATGACAGAACATGGCAGTGTGGAACACAGTTGGGTCAGTGCAGAGTTATCTCCTGTCATGTGTTGAGAACAACCACTGTCTAAAATCCAGGAAAGTTCAGACTTCTTACCAGTCATTGTGGCGGAGCTATCACTTTGGCCGGGGTTGAGCAAATGCAAGAGAGATTGCCATTGTTCTGACGTGATTCCAGCAAGAATTCCTTTGTCAGCATCATGAATCAGTGTAGGAGGTTGGCTGGACGAAGCATTCGAGGTGATCCGTGCAGCATTGGCTCGGGCGACCATATGGCTGTTTCGATCATCGTGATTCTGTGGTGCAGAAGATCCTCGGCCGCGACCAGCTCTGTTCCGAGGTCTGTCTCCCCACCACTCGGGAAACCCAATTAGTTTGAAACAACCTTGAGCATCATGTCCGGTTCTGCCACAATTCGAACACAGGGTTGAGGTATCTTTTTCGGTTGGTTTCGGCCTAGATCTCGGAGCAGAGCGAACCGAGAATGCCGCTGCGTCGTGTCTGGCATCATCGACGTGTGATACTTGATGAGTTGCTTCATCTTGAACAACCATGTTATAGGCTTCTTCAATTGTTGGTAGAGTATGCCGTGAGAGGAGACTAGATCTGATAGTGGTGTATCGGGTGTCATCAAGTCCCAGTAAAAATTCATAAAGCCTATCTTCATTCCTTTCTTTTTCCAATGTAGCAGCAATATCACACGTGCATCTGTTGCATTTGCAGACTTTCAAAGTCCGAAAGTTTGCCAACTCGTCCCATAATTTCGTGAGCTTTCCGAAATACGATTCGACGGTCATTCCGTGTTGCCGACAATTGGCAAGGTCACTGCGAAGTTTGAGGAGACGCGGAGCCGTGGTCTTTCCAAATCTGCGCTTCAAATAGTCCCATAAATCGGTTGCGAATTCACGATGAACCACATCAGATCGTATGTGAGATTCAAGTGTGTTCTTGATCCACGAAGCAATGAGGGCATTGTTCGTGTCCCAATCTTCAAAATCGGTTGATTGTTCGGCAGGTTGTGGAATGGTTCCGTCGACGAAACCAAACTTCTTCCGTGATTTGAGTGCTTGACGAATATTAATCGCCCATTCGTCGTAATTGTCTCCACGCAGCAAAGGCTGAGACAAAATCAAACCCGGATTGTCGCTCGGGGTGAGATCATAAGGTGAGATCGTTCGTCGGGGTGTCGGTGCTGTCATGTTCGTTGGAGTCGGGTCAGGATTCGAAGTTGGAGTCGGGGTCGGATCGGAGGAGTTGTGTCCGGTGTTGGTAGACATTGAATCGAGGTTTTAGAGTGGAATTTGTGGTGGATCGTGCTCTGATACCATGTCACGTATCAAGCAGAGGATGATGAAATAATGCGGCTGTGTTGATATTTGCATGTACATCGTGATTTATACAACGCAGAGGACACTTAACCTAGCCTACAATTTAGGAAATACAATCGTGGAAATAACAACTCTCGCATGTTACGTGATAGTGAATATCTATTTCCCAATAGGAACAACTATGAATCACTTTTTTTGTGTTGAACCTTGAGGACAAGATTCTTTTCGACAGAGGAATATTGATGCAAACCTACCGGTTCGTCAAAAGAAAACTATTTCGTATTATGAATGAAACCAAATCAAAGTAGTTAGCTTAACATAAGGAAGAATCAGTCTTCCTCACCACCTGGATTGAAAGACATGCAATCTCTCACTTCTATTTTCTTGTTTTCAACATAACTTGCATTTGTATTATAAAAAGTCATTGAGATAATGAATAAAGACAGATAATTTGTTTTGTAAAAAACATTGTTGTCAACCCTTACTCTGATTGGAACCTATCAATTTATGTCCGCATTTCGGCTCAAAACCATCCAAAAATATCAAAATTCGGATATAAGTTTTTTATCCGAAAAAGATCGGATTTTCGAGTCTGCAGTTAAATCGAGTTTTAGACCGATCCAAAAACTTTTTCAAAAAAAATTAAAAAAAAAATTGAGCGGATTGGATCAGAACGGTCCGATCGGTGCACGAATTTTATATGGTTATAATTAGCTTTCGAACTTGGCTATATAAATCCGAAAAAAAAAAATCAAGTTAATCCGAATTAAATTTGAAACCCTCGAATCGAATGCGATCTTGATTCGGGGTCGGGACAGACAGGGTCAATTGACACCTTGTTGTAGGGCTAAGTGGAGGTCCGAACCGACTGATGTTGAAAAATCAGCGGATGAGTTGTGGTTAGGGGGGGAAATGCCAGTCGAACCCAGAGCTAGCTGGTAATAGAAAACGACGTCGTTTCCGTTATTTTATGATATATTTTTTTTTATAAAATTCGTAAATTTAACTGGGGAAAAAAATATTCGTGTAATTTTTCCTTACATTTAAGTATTAAAGTGAGAGATAACAGAGGTGAAGTTTAACGATCATCACCGTACGAATAATCTGAAGCATAGGGTGGCGTGCCATGAGTCACGTGTCCAAGACCACGTGCCGTTCACGTTGCGTGATCCCTTTCCTCTCCTCTTCCCAGCGATCTATCACTCATTGAAACAGTATCTCTCCGCTGTCGCTGATGTTAGTAGCGCCAGCCACCTGTCGTTTAAGATTGTACGGCCGATGGTCGGTGGCCATGAATGGTCTCTATGGTAGCTCGTCACAAGATCTCTGCGGTCTCAGTCAATAATACTCGTTCACTTCCATATACATATATATATTTGCCAATATTTACTTATGTTTCCCCGAAATCAATCGAATTAAAAAAAAAAGAGGGATATTTATTTGTAACGTTATTCACTTTACGCACACATGATGGAAAGAGAATCTTGCGTTCTACGAAGGTAATAGTGAATTAGGGGTGAACATTTTATGATTCGTATTGAAATTTGATGGTTTGGTTTGGAAATAATTTATTCGGTATTTAAAAATTTGTACAAAATTAGTACCGTATATTATTCGGTTCGGTTTCGATTTTTATTAAAAAATTATATTCTTGTAAGAAAATTTCGGTTTTTCGAAAATTTTATAAAATTTGATTCGGTTTTGTTCTAGAAAATTCAGTCCTATACAAAACATCTACTCTATGGTGTACTGTCGGTGGAATTCTATGATTTTTCATTTCTTAAACAAAAATGTGAGAGAGAACAGTGAAATCCCAACATTCTCAAGTGACATTTGACGTCCCCTTTTAAAAGGGCGTTCTCCACTTTGTTGAAATAAACGTGAATTAGTGTAAATGTGAATGTTATGAATTAAAAGTCGTTGTTGAATATTTTAAATTTTTTTATAAAAAAAAAATCTTTTTTGGTGGGGAGGACGGGAATATACGTGGCTGTATCACTAAAATTGTTTGTGCGTGAACATATAAATGTTTTTTTTTATGAAAATGTGAATCATATTATATATAATAATTTAAAAACGGTAATCGTAAATCTACAGAAACCCATGGCAAGTGGTATACAAAAGCCCTGACAAAGGGAATAACATACAAAAGTTGGTCTATGAAATATTAGGAGGATCTCTCGAGATAATGTCAATCTTGTAGAGGCGATGATACAGAAGTTCGACACCGGATGACTTCATGGAGAAGAATATTTTTTACAGCTTTATCAATCTTTCTACAGAGGACTGATGGCGACTTAACAAGGTTTCGGAATAGGCGATTATTACGTTCTTTCCAAATTGCTTCCACAATATTTTGGAGTAGGATCCGTGCAAGCAGGGAACGACTACGACCACGATCATATGCTCAGGATTAAATATAATGCATGCAGCTTTTATCCAATTTAACATTTGATTCCTCCTACCATTTCCCTTTAGACAGTGTCATCATTTCTGTTCCATACGCTTGTTAGATAAGATGTTCCTTTCACGTTAGGAAAAAGGTGAAAAACTGGCAAATTTGTTTTGATTTAAGAAAAAAGAAAGAGAAAAGTAGGTTTTGTTTGATTTTTTTTAAAAAAAAAATAGAAATATAGAAAATATAAAGAAGCTATCCGTTGCATGTGAGACTAGATCACACGACTCTTTTTTTAATCCCGGTAATTGACCGACGAAAGGGTGCAGTTACACCTAATCATATAGACGAGAATTGAATTCTATTTCAACCCGTAATTACGTTTTATTAATTATAACAACAAAATGGTCCAACCCATCCAATTTTTTCATGGTATATAAACCTTCATGTCTCAATCATATAGTGTGATATGCTTTAATCAGCAGAAAGATGAATAAATGAAATAAATTATGTACTAAATTGCTCCCCTAAACCGTAGAAATCAAAGTAACCATTTTTGTTATTAACCGAATAGTTAAACCGAACTAATCCGAACAAGATATAATGGTAAGCCAATTGAATCTGACATAAAAATCGAATTGTTATGATTTTTCTAAATTTGAAAAACTGAATTTGATTAAAAACTAAAAAACGATTTTGTTTTAAAATTTTGAGTTTTTTACCAATAAAAAACTGAAATAAAATTAAATTGAATCGAAATTGATATAAAAATCGAATGGTTATCGTTCTTTTAATTCAAATAGCCAAATCCGAATATAATGGAAACTAACCAAAATCTGAGATGATTATTAGGAAGATATATATATATATATATATATCAGAGAGAGAGAGAGAGAGAGAGAGAGAGAGAGAGAGAGAGGCATAATTCATTCACAGCAAAAATCTATCCTACTGAGAAAGTAACGATCCAACTCTCTGACTCTTCTTTCTCTGTCTCTTGAGCTCTAAAACCATTTGTCTCTTCACTGTCTTTACCCAACAACCTCCATTTCCTTGAGCTTCAAGACTTGAATCATGACTCCAACTGAACCAGACATGACCCATTAGACCACTCAATTACCAGAAAGACAGCGACATAAAGCGCCATCAACGGGGGAAGAAAAGGTATCCGACATAAAACGGATAGAATGGAACCGACCGCAAGAAGTGGAGTTAGGGCAGGTTCTGTCTGGGAGAGCAGAATGCAGAGCGACGATGTCAAAAAAGGCATTTTCAGAGCGTTCGATGTCGAAAACGACGAGCACAATGATGGCGAAGGTGATGAGAACGAGAAGAAGAGCGAAAAGGCGTCTCCTTCGCCGGAGGACGGTGGAGCGGCCGTCGCTGGAAAGAGAGGGACTTGGAATTCCGGCCAGGAGAAGAGACAGGTACAGATTGGTGGAAGCAGATCCGACCAATGCGAGGATCAGTTCCGGAGAATCCCTCTGAAGATCACGAGACCCAGATCCAATATTCAGCTTCAGACAAAGAAGAGTCCAGTTCAGACAGTTAAGGCGAGATCCGAGCCTGTCACTCCGGCGAGGAGATCCAAGTCTGGGCTTAGTGGGGTAAAGGAGAAGTCTTCGCCTGTGTCGGTGAAGAAGGCGAGATCGGAATCCATGGAGGGAGTCGTGAAGAGCCCTGGTCGGATCAGGAAGTCCCGATCTGAATTGTACAATGGCGTCGTCAGATCCGACGAATTTGAATCAGATCCTCCGAGAAAAGCGAAATCCAGCTCGGCTGAGGACTTTGAAGATTTGAAGCAGCAACCAGAGCCTGGAGAAGACGACAAAGGCGAACTTGATGAAGACAAGCCGCAGAACCCAGATCATAAACCGAAAGAATTTGGTGTTTCTCGAGAGAAAATCATCTCGACAAAGAATTCGAACACCGATGAAGGGATTGACAATGACAATGAAGACAAAGGGGACGAAGAAGAAGAAGAAAAGGAAGAGGAGGAAGAAGCATATGAAGAAGAGATAGAAATGGAGAAGAAGAGCGGCAGATTAGCAACAGGGTAGTGTAGGAGATCAAGGTGCGTTTTGATTTCAATCAGTCTCACGACAGAACAAGTTCGCGTCCTTCCGCTGTCGGAAAAGTTTCGCCACCGGCGGCCAAAAGAGCCACGTCCGGTTACACAGTTCCGACTGAAGGTTTCAACCCACAGTCCACTCTCTGTATTATTTTTTTTGGTTGGTTCCTTATCCGCCTCTGCTCGTAATCGATGCTCTGTTTTTTTTGTGCGAGGGGTGGCAGAACAGAGCTTCTGTCGGTCACAGAGCAAACTGCAGAGCCTGGGTGAGAGATCTTGATCTACTTTGGTTTTTTATTTATCGAAATAATTATGGAGCAATAATTGTGTGTATGCATGTGTGTATATGTGAATGTAGTGGATCTGGTGATGTGGAGAGAGGCATCAAGGACGTCACTTGTGTTCGGGACCGGGACATTCCTCATCGTCTCTTCCTCTTACGCCAATGACCTCAACTTCAGGTTCCATTCCCTTCCTTCCTCACAGCGAATTCCCCAACAAAAAAAAATTCCATCTTAACCCGCAAAAAAAAAAAAAACCACCATTGATACACGCAGCTTAATATCGGTGGCAGCCTACGTGGGACTCGTCTACCTGGCCGCAAACTTCGTATTCAGATCAATTCTCCACAGGTGAAAACCACCCTTTACTTAATTTTAGTTATTTTGATTAGATTTTTATTTATGATTACTCAAATGGAAAACATGAGGAATGTGGGCAGGGGAGAGGGGGAGAGAGAGGGAGATGGAGAGATTTTGAGGGAAGAGGAGATAGTGAGGATGGTGAGAGCAATAATGCCTTACCTCAACGAGCTCCTCCTCACTCTCAGAGCTTTTTTCTCCGGCGATCCCTCCACCACCATCAAGGTTTTTTTTTTCTCTCTCTCTTCCTCTTTTTTATATAAAAAATGGATGAAAATAGTGAATATTAGTTATAAATTAATTTGGTTATAATCAATCAAAATTCTTGTCAAATGATGAAAAACTAATTTTTAAACTTTTTATTTGATAAAATTATTTCTAAATTTAAAAAGATATATCATTATAATTATCAAATTTGAAAAATATTTAATTATAATTTCTAAACTTGTTTTTTTATCAACGTCGTCAAAGTTTTTTACGGTAACAATTAACAAATTTGATAATTATAATGATATAAAATTATAAGTTTGATAATAAATATTACTAAAAATTATTGGTGCAAAAGAGACGATGATTGAAGAAAATTACAGATGGGAGTGGTGCTGTACGTTCTGGCCAGGTGCGGCTCCTCTATTACCATTTGGAAGATGACTAAATTGGGTAAATTTTTCTTCTTTGAAATCAGCCGGAAATCTTTACTTTTTTTTTTACTGAGAGAAGCTGATGATATCATATGAACGTGGTGGGTGTTGCAGGCTTTTTTATAATATTTACAGTCCCTAAAATCTTCACCTCGTATTCAGCATGCCTGACGGCTTACGGTGATTCATATTACCCTTTCCCTCTTTCTCAAGTCTTTTTGGTTCTGACACGTTTTGATGCCTTGCCCTTATTCTTATACATGAAACATGCACGGTGAATCTTTTTTGTTGCAAAGTTCAGACTTGACATTCGGTAAAAAAAGGAAAAAAAAGTTCAGAACACTTAACAAGCATTGATTTAACTAGGGATGCCAATCGGGTTGGTCTAAACCCGAGCCGAGTACGGTTTTTTTTTTGTCTAAATAACCAAACTCAAACCTGATCTATAGACGTCGGGCTTAGATTCAGACTAGACCGATCCGCTAAATTTATTCTTCGAAATTTATTTTTTTGAAAAAAAAAATCGAGATTTCGAACTGACCCGAAACCCGTTCTACCTGATTCGAAAGTTCGAAAATTTTTGGACCTAAATATCTCGTCTAAAGCCCGTTATTTTTCGGGTCGGACCGGGTCTCAAAACAAAATTTACACCCTAGATTTATCCTATATATTGGGTGTATCTCTAATTCAGTACAATACCCATATTTGGAAGATGCATATATACTTTTTTTTGGTACAATCTGCATGGGTGTATGTATGTATATATATAATATTTGTATTGACGTGGATGGGTGTATATATGGAAATGAATGCAGCTCAATTCTGGGTGAGGAGATTCAGGGACGCGTGGGAGTCATGCACCCACAAAAAGGCCGTGGCTTTGGCCATCTTCACCCTTGTCTGGAATCTTTCTTCAGTGGTCGCTCGCGTTTGGGCCGGTAATATATATATACATATACTTTCACATTTTCAGATTTAAAAAAAAACATAATCATATATACGCAGTGTTAATAAGAAATAAGATATTTGATACATGTATATATACATACACGCATGCAGTGTTCATACTATACGTGGCGTTGAGATATTACCAGCAAACGATAATGGTGAAGGGTGGATGGAGAGGGGAAGAAGAAGAAGATGGCGAGGAGAAACCAGAAGAAGAAGAGGGGGGGCAGCCTCAAGTCAAAAGGGCGTCAACGGTCGTACGGAAACAAATCCCAACTGTCTCTCCTTCTAATCGCATTTTTATACCCAATAAACTCAAGAAATTATCTTAGTATATGCGCCCATACATACATTCATTATATTGCAGTTTTTTTTGGTTAATAATAAATTAGTTTTTTTTTTTGTGTGTGTAATAATATCCTTGTATTGTATAGTAAATCTCTAGCCATCCCGTCAAAGATGTTTGGGGTTTGTCTTTAGTAATAGTCCGCTTTTTCGGGTCGGGTATTTGTAAACCGGATCTATCCAAATTAATATGTAACTTTATTCTGTAATCGGATCAAATTTGATATATAAAATTGAATTACGTAAATTTATGATATTTGTATAACAAGAAAACGAATTTGATTGAACAACAGAAAAATTGTAATTCTTTAAAATAAACATTTTGATTATTAAGAATTGAATTCAAGTTAAAAACTGAATTCAAATCTAATCGGACCGTGCCGAAATAATCCAAAAATATCCGTCGAACTCCGACATCATTCATTCTCTCTTATACCTCGCAGCTTTGATTCTTTTATTGGGCCTTTTCAATTACAGGCCCAATAGGGGAAAATATTCTGCTCTCAAAGCCCAATAATATCTTTAGAGTCTCGTGTCGGTTACGCCTTGTATAAATACATCCCACACCATGCATTATTATTAATCTCGATTCTCTCTCCTTGGAAAACTTCCTCCTCTCTCCCACGAAGCAAAGTTCTGATCAGGAACCCTAGGTTCTCCTCTCGCTCCAAAATCATGCGACTTCGTCCCCAGATCTTCGTCAAATCTCCGTTCAATTATCAATCCCTGGCCCTGAGATTGGATCCAACCCATTCTCTCATAACCGTAAGTGCTCTCCATTCCTTACTCGAATCATCGCACCGTCAATCATTGTCAGATTTCTGCTTCGTCCTCAATGGGAAGCCTTTGGATATCACTTCCCGGATCTCTGTTTCCGAGATTCCTCCGGTCTCCACTCTCACTCTGTACCCTCGCTACCGTGCCGGCGGAGGCGACGGCGGCGCCACGGGTGCCGAGTCCCGCGACTGCTACCTCAACATGTACGCTGAGAAGAAGCCCGATAAGGTTGACCCGAACGAGCAGAGGCTCTCCAAATGGCTAAACTGTGCTCTGTCGAACGAGCCTCTCACTGAGCCTTGCGTCACCGATTTCCTCGGCAACGTCTTCAACAAAGTACCGCTGGTTGAGGCCTTGGTCTCCAAGAGGTTGCCGAAGCAATTCTCGCACATAAAGGGGCTCAAGGACATGGTCAATATCAAATTCACCCCAATCACTGTGTCCGATCAATCCACCAGAGACGGTTCTAGTGCCCAGTTCCAGTGCCCGGTGTCAGGACTCGAGCTCAACGGGAAATACAGGTTCTTGGCACTGAGGGGTTGCGGACACGTGCTTAGCGCCAAGGCCTTGAAGGAGGTGAAGTCTTCTTCCTGTTTGGTCTGCCATACGGATTTCACCGAGTCAGATAAGATACCAATAAACGGTAGCGAGGAGGAAGTGGACGTCTTGAGGGAGAGGATGAAGGAGGAGAAAGCGAAGAAAGGCGCATCAAGGAAAAGCGCATCGAAGAAAGGCAAGAACAGCGAAAATGCAATGAAGCGAAGACACGACAATGGAGCAGTCGGGGATGGTGCTGCGGTAAAGAAGTTTAGAGCTGGGGATATGGCTCCGGCCAATGCTACCAAAGAGGTGTATGCTTCGATATTCACTTCATCTAGAAAGTCGGATTTCAAAGAGACTTATAGTTGCAGGTCACTGCCGCTCGGTCGGAACTGATTTGATTTGGTGTTGATCTCATTTTACTTGAGATGTTCCGTTCATGTTTTTACTTGTTTGGCTGTCGTGTAACTTCTTGCACTTTATAAAACAATCCATAAATACATAAAATCTCTTATTATTCCATTGTGTAATAAACTATTGTAGCGATGAACCTGTAATCTTCAATTCTAAAACTGTAAAAGTTTTCTACTTTACATGAATGTATCTTCTTGCACTATATAAAAAAACCAACCCACTGTGCTGACAAAACTGTTACATTGTGCAATAAGCTCTTGTAATCCTCAATCATAAAACTCGCAAAAGGCTTCTACTTTACATGAATGTACAGCCACGTCTATATCAGATTTGGCAAAACACTTCATACAACAAATCATCACTTCTCATTGTATATTTACGTGACAAAAGCTCGGTCTATGTCTATGTCCATGTCCATGGCCATCTCACCAAAGAACACAAAGGGAAATAGAGTTTGGCGTCAAGTCAGCCTAGCCTAGCCTCGCCTCTCGTTTCAGCACCTACGAGATGACAGAAAGGTGGGAATGAATTAAAGGCCAAGTTTTTGCTAAAAGCTTATGAACATAAAATTTTTGTTACTGTTCGGCATTAACCTCTTCAGAAAACTTAATCAAAATGGTGGTCCGAGGACGTTGTTGTCCTTCAATGGGAACAAAATGAGCCGTTACAACAGCAGGAAACCCTGCACCCTCCAGAACTCCCTGCATATAGTGGATGTAGATAAAACCGACAGCTGATTCCTCGGGCTAACCATTTTCATTAGCAAATTCAGGATTCATGCTTCGTGACTCAGTGATCTGTCTACCGTCCGTAATTCATGCAAGGAGGGTCACTCACCTTGACTATCCCGGCAGCAAACGCCCCAGAGTTGAATGTTCCCATATCTTTTGGAATTGAAATGAACCTGTAAAGATCCATCCTTTATCTATGGTTTGGCTTAAATCAACAACACGACAGTCATTCCTCAAGTGTTTACAATTAACGAATGAGTTTGACCGTAACCTGTTCACGAGAAGCTCCTTCTCACTGATCATGTACTCATCTTCATGTTCTGTCCCTTTTTCAAGCGAGTCAGCAACCTAAGCCGTGAATTTTCAACAGTAGACTTATAAGTATATCCAGAAGCAGACATGATGCTGATTACATCAGATAGATTAAACTGTTAGCGCCCACCTTTCCAAACAACACCTTCCACACTGTACTATGGACGAAAGACAGAATTCCAAGCAATCTTGTCTCCCTTCGGTTTCCCTGAAAGAACAAAAGTATTCACAACACCAAAGAGACACTGGATTCTTATTCCATGGACAAAAAAAAGTTCTCTTTCAAGTTTTTAAACGAATGAATTACGATCCAATGGGTAGATTTTTGCAGAAAAACAGGAATGAGGATCTTGAATTGAAGATCGGATGGGGAGCCGTACCTTCTCCCTGTGGCAAAGAAGTTCTAGAACTCGAGCTCCAACTGCATACCCGGCATCCTCAAGTCTGGAGAGAAAATGCCATGGACAGGAAAAAGAAAGTCAAATTTCGTCGAATAATTCCGATTCCCAGATGAATTCAGAGAGTAATGAGGTCACCTTCTTTCCAGTTCGGCAATATTGTCGACCTGCGTCTGGTTGTACTGAACAAGCTCCGAGAATAAGAAAGCAAATGCACTCAAGCTCACCTGCGGAAAAAAAATGGTGGAATCCGAATAAAATGATGGAGTGTAAAGATCATATCACCATTGCAATCAGTTCCAGGACACAATCCATGGCGTAAAACACGAAAAGAGGAAAGGATCGAAGCGAAACGTGGATCTAACGAAGACCTCTTGTTTGCCTTTGCCGAGGGGCTTGTCGAGAACGTTGGAATACTGCTTCATCTTCCCAACTCCGATCATCTTTTCTCAAATCCGCAGTTTTTTTCCCTGAATCCTCTCTGTTTCGAGGAAATTTTTCTAGGAAATGGGGTTTCTCGCTCTCGCTCTGTATATAGTAGAAACTCGAGATCGAATGATGGGAAAAAAATTATTTTTTTCCTTTTTTTTGCGCACCAACTATATATATATATATATGTATATATGTGTGTGTGTATTTGGCCGTAAGTAATGAAATAAGAAACTCGATAAAAGGAAAGGGGGCGGAAACCTGGAAACCATTTTCCCCTCCGAAGCTCCTCTCTCTCTCTCTCTCTCTCTCTCTCTCTCTCTCTCTCTCTCTCTCTCTCTCTCCGTAAAATCCAGTGTGAATGGACGAAGACGATGAGTTCGGAGATCTGTACACCGACGTTCTCCAGCCCTTCAAATCCTCCGACGTTGCCCCGCCTCCGCCTCCGCCTCCGCCTCCCCCTTCCCACTCTCCGATTGACCTCAACCTCCATCGAGATTCCTTCCCCCGGAATGGAGCCGCTCCTATTTCGAGGGTTTCCGACTCCAAATTAACCTCTCCAGCAATTGACAAGGACATGAAATTTGATATCGAAGACGCCGATACTGATGCTTTACCTGCTATTCCTGGTCTTTCTATGCCCGCTTCCGAAGCGGAACCGCTTCCTGCGTTGCCTACAGATCGAAGCCCTTCAGGAATTGGCAAGGCTAGTGATCGGGCGATGCGCGGACAGGGTGACGGAGAAGGAGATGACTGGGATAGTGACAGTGAAGATGATTTGCAGATAGTGTTGAACGACAGTAGCCGAAACGGCCTGATCGGAGCTGAGAGAAGAGAAAATCCGGACAACGACGACGAAGACGATGAAGAACCGCTTGTTATTGTGACGGACACCGACCCAAACCAAGCCATGGAGGAGCAGCTCTGGGCAGAAGATAGTCTGCAGGCGAGGGATGGAGACGGCAAAGATGGAGGCGAGGTTGGGAAGTCAAGTGGAGCAGGAGGTGCGACTGCAGCCCCCAAAACTGGGTATATCGGTTATGGGTATCACCCATTCCATTCTCAGTTCAAGGTCAGTGTCAATGCTACACTGTTGTCACTGGTTAGATTCTATGGTGGTCGGGGCTTTTCCTTGTGGCCCCGATTTGGTTTACATGAATTCCTGAGTCTATTCTCTCCTTTGTACTCGTTCCACCCTAAATGTGAAAGCAAATGCAGAGAGTTTGATAAGACAAGCTGGAGACTTTTTCTAGATTTGCGCCTAACGTTTTTTCTTTGCTACATGTGATTCAGACAGCAGTCTAGGTGTTGAAACGGTTTAAGCACCTAATTACTGATTCGCTTCCTTGTATCGCCATTCCTATGTCACTGCCTATCGCAATAGGTCCGAATTTACGGGGAATATAAAAAAGGAATCTTTTTTGACAGTTTGCAGCAATTGAATAGAAGCAAAAAGAATTGTAAGACCAATTCTAACGCAAATATGCCACAGAAGACTCGTAATTCGTTGGAACTGATCATGCCAAAGTCTTGCGCTTTTTTAAAACAAGGCTACCTTTATGTATATCTTGATCTTTGTTAGTATGTACGTACTTTATTGTGCTGTCTCTCTCTATATTTGACATATGCATATCTGTCTCTTCTTGCAGTATGTAAGGCCAGGGGCTGGCCCAATTCCTGGAGGTACTGCCGCACCTGCTACTGGAATCTCCTCCTCAGGTCAAGTTCGTCCACCCGTTAATGCAGGTTTTATGGCTGGTCGTGGTAGGGGAGACTGGCATCCACTGGGAATGAAAAATGCTTCTGTTCCACATAAAGGCTTCCACCTGGGCTCTGGTACGCCTTGGGGTGGCCGGGGATCTGGTGTTGGCCTGGACTTTACCCCTCCTCCTCACAAGTAACTTCCTATCTGTTGATTATATCTTGCTTCCCCAACAAAAGATGTCTACACATGTGCACTATAACTCGATTTAATAGTGATTGTTTTTCACTTATCTGTGATTTGGTGTCTGGATAAAAATGACCAAGTTCTGATGCATAGAGATCCACGGTTCTTGTATTGAAGTCTGTCTTTGTGATTTTTGTAGGACTATATTTGAGGTCAACATTGATGGTTTTGAGAAAAAGCCTTGGAGATATCCTGGGGTTGATACCACTGACTTCTCCAACTCCGGGTTGACTGAGGAGAGCTGGAAAGATTATTGTAAACAGCTGGTAGTTACTTATTCATGTATCATATATCTTTGCTTCCGTAACTTGATAGTACTGAGAAGTTCATCCTTCAACCTTATGCAGGAGCAACACCGTGTAGCGACCACAGTGCAAAGCAGAATTCACGTTTATGAAAGCGGGAGAACAAACCAAGTAAATCATATCTTTCTGACACCTTGTTTATATTTAAAGTCTGTTGGTTGGGTTTAAAGCTGCACAAAAATATTAGAAACCGATGCATTTAATCTGGAAACGAAGTTCTAATCGCTCTTGTTTTTTTCTTTCTAAATTTCTTAGGGGTGTGATCCAGATCTGCCTCCAGAGCTAGCTGCAGCAACAGGTGTTCAGGGTGTTCTTGTTGTCTGCTCGAATCTAGTCAAACCAGACGCTATTCAAGGTGATTCAACGAAAGGACCTGCATTGCCGCTAGTATGTTTCGTCCTGCCATTTTCTCGTTCCATAGCCCGGAACATCACAGTGCTCGTATAATCCCATTAGTTTTAAACTGTTTGACCTGCTTTTTGAATTTTTGTTCAGCCACCTGGAAGACCAATACTTGTGGAGGCTGGTTCTGGTGAGCGTCTACCATCGATTCATGCACGTGGGCCTCGGATTCATGATACAGATGCTATAATCGAGGTTATGCATGTCTTTAATCTTAATTATTGGTCCTCGGTAGGCGAACTGTTTGTGAGGCGTTTCATCTTGCTATATATTTAATACTAAACTACTGTGATTCATGGTCAGACTGTCTACCAGGACTCGCATAAGGACGAACCCTCAACTGGAAATGGTGTGGATCAAGCGGGCAATAGTCTTCCTGAAGAAAATCTATTAGGTGATGTTAACACATGCTTCTCGATTTGCTCTCCTTGGAAATCTTCCTCCTCTCTCCCACGAAGCAAAGTTCTGATCAGAAACCCTAGCTTCTCCTCTCGCTCCAAAATCATGCGACTCCGTCCCCAAATCTTCGTCAAATCTCCGTTCAATCATCAATCCCTGGCCCTGAGATTGGATCCAACCCATTCTCTCGTAACCGTAAGTGCTCTCCATTCCTTACTCGAATCATCGCACCGTCAATCATTGTCAGATTTCTGCTTCGTCCTCAATGGGAAGCCTTTGGATATCACTTCCCGGATCTCTGTTTCCGAGATTCCTCCTGTCTCCACTCTCACTCTGTACCCTCGCCACCGTGCCGGCGGAGGCGACGGCGGTGCCACGGGTGCCGAGTCCCGCGACTGCTACCTCAACATGTACGCTGAGAAGAAGCCCGATAAGGTCGACCCGAACGAGCAGAGGCTCTCCAAATGGCTAAACTGTGCTCTGTCGAACGAGCCTCTCACTGAGCCTTGCGTCACCGATTTCCTCGGCAACGTCTTCAACAAAGTACCGCTGGTTGAGGCCTTGGTCTCCAAGAGGTTGCCGAAGCAATTCTCGCACATAAAGGGGCTCAAGGACATGGTCAATATCAAATTCACCCCAATCACTGATCAGTCCACCAGAGACGGTTCTAGTGCCCAGTTCCAGTGCCCGGTCTCAGGACTCGAGCTCAACGGGAAGTACAAGTTCTTGGCACTGAGGGGTTGCGGACACGTGCTTAGCGCCAAGGCCTTGAAGGAAGTGAAGTCTTCTTCCTGTTTGGTCTGCCATACGGATTTCACCGAGTCAGATAAGATACCAATAAACGGTAGCAAGGAGGAAGTGGCCGTCTTGAGGGAGAGGATGAAGGAGGAGAAAGCCAAGAAAGGCGCGTCGAGGAAAAGCGCATCGAAGAAAGGCAAGAACGGTGAAAATGCAGTGAAGCGAGGACACGATAATGACAATGCCGGGGATGGTGCTGCGGTAAAGAAGTTTAGAGCTGGGGATATGGCTCCGGCCAATGCTACCAAAGAGGTGTATGCTTCGATATTCACTTCATCTAGAAAGTCGGATTTCAAAGAGACTTACAGTTGCAGGTCACTGCCCCTCGGTCGGAATTGATTTGATTTGGTGTTGATCTCGTTTGGCTTGAGATGTTCCGCTCACGTTTTGCTCGTTTGCTTACCATGTAACTTCTTGCACTTTAAAAAACAACCCATAAATACGTGAAATCTCTTGTTGTTCCATTGTGTAATAAACTCTTCTAGCGATGAACCTGTAATCTTCAATCCTAAAACTGGAAAAATTTTGTACTTTACATGAATGTATTTTCTTGCACTCTATAAAAAAACCAACCCATTGTGCCGACAAAACTGTTCCATTGTGTAATAAGCTCTTGCAATCCTCAATCATAAAACTAGGAACAGGCTTTTACTTTACATGAATGTACGGCCACGTCTATATCAGATTGGCAAAACACTTCATACAAATCATCACTTCTAATAGTATATATACGTGACAAAAGCTCGGTCCATGTCCATGGCCATGGCCATCTCACCAAAGAACACAAGACTGAATCTAAGGGAAATAGAGTTTGGCGTCAAGTCAACCTAGACTCGACTCTCTTTTCAGCACCTGCGAGAGATGACAGAAAGGTGGGAAGGGATCAACGGCTAAGTTTCTGATAAAAGGTTATGAACATCAATTTTTTTTGTTACTGTTCAGCGTTAACCTCTTCAGAAAACTTAATCAAAATGGTGGTCCGAGGACGTTGTTGTCCTTCAATGGGCACAAAATGAGCCGTTACAACAGCAGGAAACCCTGCACCCTCCAGAACTCCCTGCATATAGTAGATATAGATAAAACCGACAGCTGATTCCTCGGTCTAACCATTTTCATTAGCAAATTCAGGATTCATGATTCATGCTTCGTGACGCAGTGATCTGTCTACTGTCTGTAATTCATGCAAGGAGGGTCACTCACCTTGACTATCCCGGCAGCAAATGCCCCAGAGTTGAATGTTCCCATGTCTTTTGGAAATGAACCAGTAAAGATCCATCCTTTATCTATGGTCTGTCTTAAATCAACAACACAACAGTCATTCCTCGAGTGTTTACAGTTAACGAATGAGTTTGACAGTAACCTGTTCACGAGAAGCTCCTTCTCACTGATCATGTACTCATCTTCATCTTCTGTCCCTTTTTCAAGCGAGTCAGCAACCTAAGCCGTGAATTTTTAACAGTAGACTTAAATATCCAGAAGCAGACATGATGCTGATTACATCAAATAAGATTAAACTGTTAGCACCCACCTTTCCAAACAACACCTTCCACACTGTACTATGGACGAAAGACAGAATTCCAAGCAATCTTGTCTCCCTTCGGTTTCCCTGAAAGAACACCAAAGAGACACTGGATTCTTATTCCATGGAAAAGAAGTTCTCTTTCAAGTTTTTAAACGAATGAGTTACGACCCAATGGGTAGATTTTGCACAGAAACAGGAATGAGGAACTTGAATTGAAGATCGGATGGAGCCGTACCTTCTCCCTGTGGCAAAGAAGTTCTAGAACTCGAGCTCCAACTGCATACCCGGCATCCTCAAGTCTGGAGAGAAAATGCCATGGACAGGAAAAAGAAAGTCAGATTTCGTCGAATAATTCCGATTCCCAGATGAATTCAGAGAGTAATGGGGTCACCTTCTTTCCAGTTCGGCAATATTGTCGACCTGCGTCTGGTTGTACTGGACAAGTTCCGAGAATAAGAAAGCAAATGCACTCAAGCTCACCTGCGGAAGAAAAATGGTGGAATCCAAATAGAATGATGGAGTGAGAAGATCGTATCACCATTGACAATCAGTTCCAGGACACAATCCATGGCGTAAAACACGAAAAGAGGAAAGGATCGAAGAGAAACGTGAATCTAAGGAAGACCTCTTGTTTGCCTTTGCCGAGGGGCTTGTCGAGAACGTTGGAATACTGCTTCATCTTCCCAACTCCGATCATCTCTTCTCAAATCCGCAGTTTTTTCCCCTGAGCCTCGAGGAAATTTTTCTAGGAAATGGGGTTTCTCGCTCTGTATGGCGTAGTAGAAACTCGAGATCGAATGACGGGAAAAAAATTATTGTTTTCCTTTTTTGGGGCACCAACTATATATATATATATGTATATATGTGTGTGTATTTGGCCCTAAGTGATGAAATAAGAAACTCGATAAAAAGAAAGGGGGCGGAAACCTGGAAACCACTTTCTCCTCCGAAGCTCCCTTGTATCGTCTCTCTCTCTCTCTCTCTGTGTGATTGATACGTTGGGTGTTCCTCCGTAAAATCCAGTGTGAATGGACGAAGACGATGAGTTCGGAGATCTGTACACCGACGTTCTCCAGCCCTTCAAATCCTCCGACGTTGCCCAGCCTCCGCCTCCGCCTCCGCCTCCCCCTTCCCACTCTCCGATTGACCTCAACCTCCATCGAGATTCCTTCCCCCGGAATGGAGCCGCTCCTATTTCGAGGGTTTCCGACTCCAAATTAACCTCTCCAGCAATTGACAAGGACATGAAATTTGATATCGAAGACGCCGATACTGATGCTTTACCCGCTATTCCTGGTCTTTCTATGCCCGCTTCCGAAGCGGAACCGCTTCCTGCGTTGCCTACAGATCGAAGCCCTTCAGGAATTGGCAAGGCTAGTGATCGTGCGATGCGCGGACAGGGTGACGGAGAAGGAGATGACTGGGATAGTGACAGTGAAGATGATTTGCAGATAGTGTTGAACGACAGTAGCCGAAACGGCCTGATCGGAGCTGAGAGAAGAGAAAATCCGCCTCCGCCTCCGCCTGCCCCTTCCCACTCTCCGATCGACCTCAACCTCCGATCCCTCCATCGAGATTCCTTCTCCCGGAATGGAGCCGCTCCTATTTCGAGGGTTTCCGACTCCAAATTAACCTCTCCAGCAATTGACAAGGACATGAAATTTGATATCGAAGACGCCGATACTGATGCTTTACCTGCTATTCCTGGTCTTTCTATGCCCGCTTCCGAAGCGGAACCGCTTCCTGCGTTGCCTACAGATCGAAGCCCTTCAGGAATTGGCAAGGCTAGTGATCGTGCGATGCGCGGACAGGGTGACGGAGAAGGAGATGACTGGGATAGTGACAGTGAAGATGATTTGCAGATAGTGTTGAACGACAGTAGCCGAAACGGCCTGATCGGAGCTGAGAGAAGAGAAAATCCGGACAACGACGACGAAGACGATGAAGAACCGCTTGTTATTGTGACGGACACCGACCCAAACCAAGCCATGGAGGAGCAGCTCTGGGCAGAAGATAGTCTGCAGGCGAGGGAGGGAGACGGCAAAGACGGAGGCGAGGTTGGGAAGGCAAGTGGAGCAGGAGGTGCCACTGCAGCCCCCAAAACTGGGTATATCGGTTATGGGTATCATCCCTTTCATTCTCAGTTCAAGGTCAGTGTCAATGCGCCACAGTTGTCACTGGTTAGATTCTATGGTGGTCGGGGCTTTTCCTTGTGGCCCCGATTTGATTTACATGAATTCCTGAGTCTATCTCTCCTTTGTACTCGTTGTACCCTAAATGTGAAAGCAAATGCAGAGTGTTTGATCAGACAAGCTGGAGACTTTTTCTAGATTTGCGCCTAACGTTTCTTCTTTGCTACTTGTGATTCAGACATCAGTCTAGGTGTTGTATTTGGCCCTAAAATTAACGGTTTAAGCACCTAATTACAGATTCTCTACCTTGTATCGCCATTTCTATGTCACTGCCTATTGCAATAGGTCCGAATGTATGGGGAATAGTAAAAAAAGGAATTCTTTTTACAGTTTGCAGCAATTGAATAGAAATAGAAACAAAAAGAATTCTAAGACCAGTGTCAACCTCTAAGACCAATTCTAAAGCAAATATGCCACCGAAGACTCGTAATTCTCTTTGGAACTAATCATGCCAAAGTCTTGCGCTTGTCACAAAACAAGGCTACCCTTATGTATATCTTGATCTTTGTTAGTAAGTATGTACTTTGTTGTGCTCTTTCTCCATATATTTGACATAAGCATATCTGTCTCTTGCAGTATGTAAGGCCAGGGGCTGGCCCAATGCCTGGGGTTACTACCACATCTGCTGCTGGAATCTCCTCCGCAGGTCAAGTTCGTCCACCCGTTAATGCAGGTCTTATGGCTGGTCGTGGTAGGGGAGACTGGCGTCCACCGGGAATGAAAAATGCTTCTGTTCCACATAAAGGCTTCCACCTGGGCTCTGGTACGCCTTGGGGTGGCCGGGGATCTGGTGTTGGCCTGGACTTTACCCCTCCTCCTCACAAGTAACTTCCTATCTGTTGATTATATCTTGCTTCCCCAACAAAAGATGTCTATACATGTGCACTATAACTCGATTTAATAGTGATTGTTTTTCACTTATCTGTGATTTGGTGTCTGGATAAAAAAGATCAGGTTCTGATGCATAGAGATCCACGGTTCTTGTATTGAAGTCTGTCTTTGTGATTTTTGTAGGACTATATTTGAGGTCAACATTGATGGTTTTGAGGAAAAACCTTGGAGATATCCTGGGGTTGATATCACTGACTTCTTCAACTTCGGGTTGACTGAGGAGAGCTGGAAAGATTATTGTAAACAGCTGGTAGTTACTTATTCATGTATCATATATCTTTGCTTCCGTAACTTGATAGTACTGAGAAGTTCATCCTTCAACCTTATGCAGGAGCAACACCGTGTAGCGACCACAATGCAAAGCAGAATTCGCGTTTATGAAAGCGGGAGAACAGACCAAGTAAATCATATCTTTCTGACACCTTGTTTATATTTAAAGTCTGTTGGTTGGGTTTAAAGCTGCACAAAAATATTAGAAACCGATGCATTTAATCTGGAAACGAAGTTCTAATCGCTCTTTTTTTTTTCTAAATTTCTTAGGGGTATGATCCAGATCTGCCTCCAGAGCTAGCTGCAGCAACAGGTGTTCAGGGTGTTCTTGTTGACTCCTCAAATCTAGTCAAACCAGACGCTACTCAAGGCGATTCAACAAAAGGACCTGCACATGTTCGACCACCGCTAGTACGTTTCGTCCTGCCATTTTCTCGTTGCATAGCCTGGAGCATCACGGTGCTTATATAATCCCATTAGTTTTAAGCTTTAGATTATTTATTTGACCTGGTTTTTGACCTTTTGTTCAGCCACCTGGAAGACCAATACCTGTGGAGGCTGGTTCTGGTGAGCGTCTACCGTCGATTGATACACGTGGGCCTCGGATTCGTGATACAGATGCTATAATCGAGGTTATGCATGTCTTTAATCTTACTTATTGGTCCTCGGTAGGCGAACTGTTTGTGAGGCGTTTCATCTTGCTATATATTTAATCCTAAACTACTGTGATTCGTTGTCAGATTGTCTGCCAGGACTCACATGAGGACGAACCCTCAGCTGGAAATGGTGTGGATCAAGTGGGCAATAGCCTTCCTGAAGAAAATCTATTAGGTGATGTTAACAGCGGAAGACCAGACATAGAATCTTCTATCCGAGCTCCTACCCAAGATGAGCCAGGTCAAGGTCTTCATGATAAGCAAGAGGATGAGATCTCTGAAAGCACGGATGGTAGATGCAAAGAGGATGAGATTTCTGAAAGCGTGGATGGTAGATGTAGTTTGCGGTCGTCATCTCCTATTGGAGATAGAGAAGCCAGGTCATCAAGCCCTGACCAGAAAGATACAGCGGCTGAAGCTAGCAAAGGCTCTGAGATGGAGGAAGGCCGTAAGATGAGTTCTGGACTCTCAAAGTCGGTGGTTCAGGAAGATGATGGAGGAGAGTCAAAGACTGAGAGACACCGTGAAAGTCACAGAGAGTATCAGCAGAGTGCTGAGGAAGAAGTTATTCAACATAAACTTTACGCTCGACCAGCTATGGGTAGAAAGCATCTCGATGAAAACACACAGCATCCAAGCAGAAAGAATCAGGACAGAGGGCATGAAATAGAACGGACTCGTGTGGCTAGCCGAGGTGGTAGGGAGAACTCACATCCTCATATGGAGATTGAGTCTATCTATCCTTATAACTCACATGCAAGGGGTGAGGATTTTGATAAAAGAAAAGAACGAGATGTCGCTGGGAATGTTTGGCGTAGTAGACAAGATGGCACTTACAGTAGAAGAAGCGGAGATGAAAGTTCTAGAAAACGAGACAGTGGAGATGATCAGGGCTCTAGGCACAGGGGTAAAACGCGAGATAGTGAAACAAATAGCAGAGATAACCATAGAAAGCATTTGGATGATAATTGTTTGAGGAATAACCCTGAGTTGGTGGATGATTATGTTAGCAAGAGAAGGAAGGATGAAGAATATTTACGAAGAAGCTGCTCAGACAAGAACGAAAATCTTCACGATCATCAAAGAGAATCAGCGAGCCGTCCAAAACGAGAAAGGGATGATAGGTCGGAGCATCAGAGGAGAGATGTCCAGAGAATTAGAGAGGATTCTGCCGATCGCCATTCTTTCAGGCACAGAGATGAATTTTATTCACTGAGAGATGGGAATGAGAGAGATAATTTAAAACAGACTCGTGAGGGTTCATCGGTGCGTGGAAGAGAAACACAGGTGGCTATGAGGAGCCTTAGACGTTCGGAAGACCGAGCATCGAGGATGAAGGATGAATACAGAGGTTCTGATAAAGAGCTTCTTAACAAAGATACAGCAAGACATAGTAAACAACAGAAGAGAAGGGAAAATGCCTATGAGCAGGAAAGTTCTTTGCGTCATAGAGGACACGAGGACGTTTCTGCACGTGCAGACGAAATCATTAACAATGAGAAGAAACTGAGGCAGGAAAGGACCAGTGGTAGTGAAAAGGTTTCTTCTGATCAGAAGCATAAAGAATCCAGACGAAACAATAAAGAGCATCGAGTTGGAGATGCTGCAGATAATGGTCCATTAAGGAGCAAACAAGAGGAACAGAATGGCAGTTTCGAAGAGTCGGTATGTCCCGTTGGAATTTCATCTGGTTTAATTGATATATCAACGATTAGTATTGAGATTGTTTTTTGATGGTTTTAGGTCCTGAGATTGATTTTTGATGGTTTTAGGTCCCAAAAGGCAGCAACGGTTCAAGAAACAGCAGACGTGAGACAGAACATCAATCCAATTCTGACAGAAGACAAAAGGAAGAAGCTTCCTCAGACGATGAACCTTCAAAGAGGGGACGGTCGAAGCTGGAGCGTTGGACAAGCCGTAAAGAGAGAGATTCCACTTCATCTCTGCCCTTGAAGATTCAAGAGATGGACCAAACCACAAATGGTGGCGGATATGCAGAAGAAGATAGAGAAGCAGCCGATGGCTCTACTGGCAAGAATCGGGACGGAAACGGAGATGCGAAAGAGACGGGCCAGAAGCCAAGGGGGGAACGGCACTCCGACACGGTCGAGAAACTGAAGAAACGCAGCGAAAGGTTCAAGCTTCCGATGCCAAACGAGAAGAATACCGCATCGACGGCAAAGAAAACGAAGATTGAAACACTGCCTTGTGCGAAAATCGAAGGGCCTGTGGAGTCAGAGGTGAAGGCAGAGCGGCCGGCAAGGAAAAGACGGTGGACGAGTAACTGAGAGTGTTTCATATGATGAGATCAAAGGGATTATGGCTGAGAGGGTCTTTTGTTGGGGAAACATTATCAAATGAGTTGGATTCAGTTAGGAGATTATGTAAGATTTTAGGGATACGGATAAAAAGATTTAACTTTTGAGAGAATGCTTTCTAGTTTGTAGTTTTGTAACTTTTGTCGGAGACAAATGGGTTTTCGGTTTTGTTCTCCTATAAAATAAATTTATCATACAGAAATTTAAGCATATAATATAGGAAAAAAACTCCTATAAAATATACAATTATATCTTAAATTACAAATTAAATGTTTCTTTTTTTTTTTTGTTATTTGTAAGTAATATAAATTTTCAACAAAACTCTAAATTGACATCGAATTTTCAAGAGTTATATAAATATCGAATAATCAAAATATTGACAAATCTAACGTTACAATCTATACGTATGCCACATAATATTTTTTAAAAATATAAAAAGACGTTAAAATAATGAAAAAAATTATAAAATAAAAATAAAATGAAAAATTTACCTATCAAGATTTAATCTTTGAATTATGTACATATAATTAAATATTTTATATACGTTATTTTTTGTCGAATAATATATTAGGTCATTGATTTGAGGAAGAAAGATCATATTAGCCGAAGATGGAGAAAGGTGCTGAGCGAAAAGAGGAAGTTTAACGTAAGAAAGAAGGTCAGAATTTGGCTTTCAGATTTTATTATTTTTCACACGAGAGAGACGATCTTCTTCTTCGTCGTCACGATTCAACCGGAGAGAGATGAAGATCACGGCGTTGCTGGTTCTCAAATGCGCTCCCGAGACGGCGGATCCGGTGATAGTGGCCAACGCCTCCGACGTCTCTCACTTCGGCTATTTCCAGAGAAGCAGCGTCAAGGAGTTCGTCGTCTTCGTCGGCCGCACCGTCGCCAAACGCACCCCTCCCGGCCAACGCCATTCCGTCCAGCATGAAGGTTCCTTAGATTCCATCTCCGATCTGTTCGATTTCTCTCTTGTCTGATCTCGGTTCCATCTTCCCCGATCTTAATTCCCCAAGTTTCCGTCTAGAGTACAAGGTGCACGCTTACAATCGAAACGGCCTTTGCGCCTTGGGTTTCATGGACGATCATTATCCCGTTCGAAGTGCCTTCTCTCTTCTCAATCAGGTACCTTTTGAATTACTTCAACCGCGATCCTACTGGTTTCTTATAATTCACTTCATATTTTCATGGAAATTGTTGACGGTTTCCCATATATCTGTGGTTCTTTTTCTCCCAGATTGTGGATGAGTACCAGAAGAATTTTGGTGAGACATGGAGGTCAGCAAAAGAAGACAGCGCTCAGCCATGGCCATATTTAAATGAAGCTCTATCCAAATTTCAGGTTATTATTCTTCCATTTGTTTTCCCTCTACATATGCCCGTGATACTATACGAGTAAGCTCAATTTGAGTGAAATAAAAGATGATTGTTGATTTTGTCATTGGTTGTAGAAAGTTTCTTTTTTTTTAAAAAAAAAATCCTGTTTTCTGAATCTTCAGGACCCAGCAGAAGCTGATAAGCTGATGAAAATCCAGAGGGAATTGGATGAGACCAAGATTATCCTTGTAAGCCTAAGGCCTTTCTGTATAGACTTTGCATATTCCAGTAAACGTGTACATGATGTGCGTCTAATATGTTGTTCTTGCCGATGAGCTCAGCTTTTTCCCAAACACCCACCAAAATCATCACCTTTAACCTCTCTGCCCAAAGATAAAGCAGGATCTTGGAAGTGTTGAAGCTAGCATGGTTGCTTCTTCTCATCTTTATCTAACTGAGGGTTTGCCTATTCCGCAGCATAAAACCATTGACAGCGTGCTGGCCCGAGGTGAGAAGCTGGACAGCCTGGTGGAGAAGAGTTCAGATTTGAGCATGGCATCACAGGTAAAATGGTCCTTTCAATATCTGGCTAGCTATGCTCGTCATCTATAATTATAGGTTTCTTTCCACGCCCATCTAGAACATCAGACCTAGCTTTGAATCTGGATTTGAGCCTGAGAATAACCTGATGATATGCCGCAAGACTTTGGGCGTATTATTCGTTGCAAAGCTTGCTAATCAGATGGAAGTTAATCTTGTCATTGGATATGGTGAAGTCGTGATTGGTAGATGAAAATATCTGTCTTAACATGATCGCAAACGTGTTTGGTGTTGGGTTGAAACAGATGTTCTACAAGCAGGCGAAGAAAACAAATTCTTGTTGTACTGTGCTCTGAGGTTGGGTGTTTGGATCTATAAACATGTGCTGGGCGAGACTTCCTCGTTTTACATCTGTGGTTTCGATTATGTTTTGAGATGTATAAGACCAAATGTCTGTGCTCTGAGTTGCATTTTGTTTTGGTTGAAACTCGAAAGCTTTTTTTTTTTTAAATTAATGTAGAGCCGTGTTCGTTTTTACCACTCGCATCATGAATTGGAAAGCTGTTGGCCTGTATCCTCTATTTCATAGCTTTTGGTTAATATCCCTCTTCCCAGTTCCCAGTTCCCAGTTCCCAGTTCTGCACATTAAGCGGCCAATTGGTTTTATTTATTGACAATCTGAGGGAACAATGAAAGAATATCACCCAAGAAGAAACAGTGTGTGGAATTCGACAAATCCCTAACAGAGAGCAGTATCTGAAAAGAAAAGAAAAGAAAAGCGAGAGCCTCTCCATCTGTGACATGGCTACGGCAGAGGAAACGAGTCAAGCCCAACACCAGCAGCCATCGACTCATCCTGCAATAACATTCATCAGAATCTCATCAATCATCATTGAGGAAAGCAAACTCTGGCATCGTATGTGTGGCTGTTGCAGAAGAACAAGGCACCACCATATATACTTTACCTGTTTCATCATCTCGTTCATAATGTCATCGAATGAGTCGTGATGATCATTGATAAAACCATTTTCAGACTTGGTGTTTTCCGAGCTGCAGCCTTTATTGGACCTCATTTCTGGTTCCAATCTTGCGGGTTGACTGTTGAGTATTGCACCACTGCCATCTATTTGGCTCATCATAGAACCATCCAAGCCTTTGCTTCCGGCTGCATTTATCATCTCCATAACCATTTCATTTGCTGGACTGAACGAATTATTCGACATGTGTGTGCACTCTCGCCCTTGTTCCTCCCAGTTTTGTTGTTGGTCTGAGGTATTCATGTTCTGAACAAAGTTGCCCGACAAGTTTGTCTGGCATTGCATCTGTCCTCCAGGAAAGATGAATGGGTTAAAATCAACTGGGTCATTCCCAGCAACGCCTCTAAAACTATTATTACTCAGCAATTCATCCCGGCTAAGAGAATGGTTTAGTGGCAAAGGGTCCAATGGACTCTTAGGTGCCTTAATATTCCCTTGCCAGCCGTCACTGCATCTGCTGAAACCAGAAAAGCTAACATTGAGGGGACCAGAAACTGATGGAGCTCCCTGGAGAGAAAATTGATTTCCAGCCAAGATCTTATGCAGGGGTTGGTGATACTTTGCTTGCAACATCTGAGAGTTGCTAAAAGTGCTAGAGCTACCACCGAATGAGGCTTGAGAGTCCATGAAGAATGCACGGTCGCCTAAGATTTTGGAATCTCCAATGTATGCAGGGCACCTACTTCCAGGAAACTGGCTGGCTTCTAGCGGAGGTGAGGTTTGTTGAAAGGAAATTACGGTCTGGACTCCTGATAATAGAGGTGAGTGATGCTTGCCAGACTTATTTGCTGAGTTGCCTATGTGCTGGTAATGCCCAGGTTGAACAAAGCTGGGGGAAGCAATTCCCTGAAGGTTTATCAACGACCCATTTGGGGAACTGAGTCTGGTGACAGTTGGTGCATGAGGCCGGGATAGGAGTGTCGAGATCGGCAGTCGTCTTGTGGCAGTCAAGCTATGAAAATTCTTTATTCCATCAAGTTGAGCCATGTGCAAGAAAGAGGGGTCTTTCGTCCCATACACGGTTGAAGCCATATTATGGTGCTGATGAGCTTCGTCCATCTTTTTCAAGTAAAGTCTGTACTTCTAAAGAAAAGGAAGACACAACTTCATCATCCACATTACTATAGATAAAAGGCGCAGATGAGAGAGGAAAGAAAAGGGAGATTGGGCTGAGATTCTTGCCTGCAAATGGCTGGCTACATTTTCCCTCGTCAGACCTTCTACATTCATGAGATCAAGGATTTTTTTTGGGACGGCCTCTGGAGACAAATGAAGAGAGAAATATAGTATCAGAAGAAACGAAAAATAGAGAGTATAACACAGAGATTTCAGAGGGACAACTTACTGTCAGGGCCCAACTGTGTAACGGCAGCCACAAACTTCTGGTGGAGCTCAGATGCCCACACGACACGAGGCTTCTTCCGGGTACAAGACTCATCATCCATGTCATGTTCACTCCCCTCGCCACCTTCCGTTTCTCCATCACTGTCACTGTCCGCGTCGCCGCTACCATCATCGATGTTGTCTTTGTGTTTCTTACTCACCTGATAAGTGCTGGGAGGAGGGAGAAGTTGACCGGAAGGCCCAGCAATGTTTCTTGTAGAGGGGTTAGTATTTTTCCTGACCACATGTTGCCAGATATTACGGAGCTCCTTCAGACCAACGGGTTTGACCAGATAATCACAGGCACCATGTGTAATGCCTTTCATGACGTGTTCATAGTCGCTGTGAGCTGACACCACTGTGAAAGGAAATGGAGTAAACAAGAGAGGTTCAGGAGATGATATTAAATAAAAAAAGAGGAGGGGAGGAGGAACAAAAAGGCATACTGATGACAGGAAGGTCCATTTCTAGGCCGACAAGCTCAAGCAGCTTAAAGCCATCCATGTCAGGCATCTCCACATCGGTTATAACCAGATCAAACTTGTTGCTCTTCTCCCTCAGCATCCCAAGAGCAGCCTTCGCCTCTTTTGTTGTTGTCACTGAACATTTATATGTGTGTATATATATATATATCCCTTCAAACATCACCCTCTAAATCGTTCTTTGCCTTACACACAAAACCCAGGTAAAAAAAAAACAAAAAGAAAAAGAAAAAAAAGAGAGAAGAAAATGGACCACGATATTTGCAGCGAAGCAGCAACTCCTCTAGTGTCCGGAGGTAGGTTGGATTGTCATCGACGGCAAGCACACGCATACCCACTGGAAACTGCTCCATCCTTCCCTCTTCAGCACTCACTGATTCCATCTTCTCGGCCTTTTTGGTCTGAGAGTCTCTTCTCTTCCCCTCTCCTGTCTCCCAGGAAACACATACACTTCGATGTGGGATTTCATAAAATGTGAAAACCTGCAGCCTGGAATCGGATAATCATTCTTTCCCCAAAGTTATAGGACTGAGGGAGGCTGACTCATACGAGAGAGAGAGAGAGAGAGAGGGAGAAAGATTGAGATTATGCCAATTAATCTGGCCCTTAATTCTACACATAATCACACATTTCCTTCTTTTGCTCTCTTTCCATTTATGGGGAACGAGGAGGGTCACATGCTCCGCTACCTTCCTTTTTGTTTGTTGAATCTTCCCATTTTGTGCACATAAAAGACAACGTTTCGTCTCAATGCTCCCATTTCCTTCCTCGGAAATATCTTATTCTCTCATAACGTTCAAACTGAACATTTCGGCCTCTGCTTATGTTTTCTTTTCTTCTTTTTTTTCGTTACCTGTTTCGATAGACACAACTGGATACTTCAAGTAAGCAAAAGCGAATAAATAAATATGATATGCATTCACTCAGAAAATAATAAAAGCAACTTTACAAGGGAATGTACTGACCTGCTATTTTATCACATGGACTGACCAGATTCAAAACAAGGGGCATTCTCCTCCACAATTCTGGCATCACTTCCATTTACGTACACCCAAGTTTCTGCTATTTTCTCGACTATTTCCATCTAAAATCTCTACCACGGTGAAAGCTCTTGCTGCTCTGGCCCATCCATTTTCCGTTTCTCATTAAGCCTCTGTCACTCCTCTTTCCTGACCTCAGCACATTATGCATCCAAACACAACTAATAGAATTGACAACCTTGTTGCATTACGTTGTTGTGTTCCGTAGGTATATAACCTTCTCGTATTTAATTAAACAAGGTCAGATGCTGGCCACAACCACATTCAGGAAGCTAAAACATGGACTATGATAAAGTGTTGCAAAATTGAGAAGACAGTGGTTGCTGAAACCACCTGGATCACCACCTTCAGGGTCCGAGTCTTTTCCACAGACATCCTCCGCTTGAGAACCTAAACCTGCAGGATGATGCAAAAAACAAATTCACACCAAAAAAATGTAGGCCTGACTGGCCTAAAGACTAAACCAATAAGAAAGCTCCCACACCTATTGATCCATTGTGTGCAAGAATTACATCTATATGATCATCTGGTATCTCCTGTGCGGTCTTACCAACCCTCGAACTCCATATCTGAAAGATGATAAAAATTCCATGGAAAAAGATAACATATTATTGGCAGACGTTAAAGGAGTAATATAAATTTCTTAACCCCGAAAATATCTAGTTGAGAACAGCAACTTCTAAGCATTAGGGAAGAGGAGGCCAATGAAGGAGGAGCAGCATCGTGTCAGAAGCACCTGGGTCGACCAACGACAGAGGGAGATGGGCAGGCAACCAAAAGGCGTGTAATCCCATGAGCTCATTATGCCATTTAAACTTGAAAACTGTTGCTGCTCGGAAGACTTCACAAATTTCCTGCCACTATACATGCTTTGCTTAACGAACATGAATCATGATGAACAAATTCCACCACAACTGCAGTTTCTGTCAGTCTTATTAGTTTGGCTATCCAAAACCAAAAGCAACCCACAAAAAGAGAAACACTACAGAGAGAACAAGAACAAGAGGGCTAGCGATAATCATCAAGATGCTACATGAATTCAATTAGTAGTGAACCTTAGTATACAGCCGCCCCGAAATTTGAGCCTAGAAAAAAAAAACAAATGATATCCCCCTCCTCCCCTCCCATGTTGTCACCATACCCAAAAAAGAATGACCCTTTCTACTCTCTTACCACAATCCCTTCTTCTTATGATTTACCTCACTCCCTTCCTCTCCCCTTGTCATCCGCTGCATCCCCATCTCTCAGTGTTAGAACTTGACACACACGTTCTGATATTAGCTCTGTGGAGGCTTCCTGATCGCCTCTCTGGCTTCTCCTACTGTTCTCTCCCACCTTTTTCCGTTCCTCTGCTGATTTCTCTCTCTCATCATAATACCCAAAATCATCTAGGATCGATGTCTGCACCTCGTATTCTTTGAAAATCCTCAGCATCTCAATCCCCTGTTCTAGCTTCACCTGCACAGTTTTGCTCATAGATCAATTATGCATTTCACTTCAACACAAACCTCAAACTAATTCCTTAAATAAGAATCATTATAGATCAGATGCAACATGCTTGTTGAGCCCGGGCACGCCACCAAACACAATTCATGCATCAACCACTAACATCACAGAAATCTCTTTGCCAGTAGCCAAAGTCTTCCTTTTTCTTCTCACTGTGTTTTCTCAGATTTCCCACTTTTTAGATCTGTGAGAGCTCTCACGTGCAAATCATCAATACATTCAGTGCATATCTATTTAATCCCTATGGCTAAGAGGGTCTACTAAATCAGTCTCCCTCTCCCTCTAATTTATCTCCACGTACCTAAGCACTAACTGCTATAAACATGGTCAATTTGGACCTATTTGGAAATTGAGATGGTCTCCCTAGGTGGGTGGTAAATACTACTGCAGAAAGCTTGTCAACAAGCAAAGAGTAAGTGAACAGACACCAAACAAAGACGCAATGGTGATGCATGATGAATAGGTTACCATCTAACAGAGAAACAACAAAAGTACAAGACAACCTCCTGAGAGTCTCGGCTGTGCGTCACCGGCTTGTTGTCATTGTTTCGAAGAAGTATGTGACAAAATCGATTATTGGGTACATCTTTTACAATATGCCATTTCACTGGGAATTGCCCACTCCATCTGTCCTGTTGCCAGTAAGCAGCATCCTTGTCAAAATCTACCGGTCCAACCATTTCAGACACCCCACAAAACTGTCCGCTAGCATTTACCTGCAAATTCTCAACTCTGGTTATACATGCAGTTCCACTGAGCAATAGGAGCTTATTTTCAGAACTAATTGCATTATTGTTGATTATCAAGAACGGTATATATATTATTAATTCAGATATGACCACCTTTATAAGCATGGAAAATTAAGTTGCTCCAGCAACTGAAAACAGATAAAAATAACAGGAAAATAAAAGAAGAAGCAAGGCAGGAAAGAAAGACGAGAAATTCATAGGGATGAAGAGACTCATACCGAGAAAAACAGAAAGACTGGACATTCTCCACCTATTTGCTTAGCTTCACCATAAGCCGTATCCAATTTTTTGCTTCCATGGGGTGTACTGGCCCATGTACTATACTTAATACTTCTGTGAACATTGTCTTCACTAAAAGATTTGATGATAAAGAATTTGGCATTCTTGTATTCTGTCACAAAATCTGGATGGCTGTACAAACTGGGATTTGTTACATCTGTAGTCGAATAGTTCTTTGAGTCACCAACAGTAGAGCTTGGTTTGAAGCTGTTCTTGTTCTTTACCATGGAAGCCCTCGGTCCTCTATTTCCATATGGATCACTGGTGGTGGAAACTGAACTTTGATCATTCTCTCGCCTTTTACCTTTGTCAAGGGTGAATCTGACTGGGTTATCAGCTCCATAACACGAAGCAGCCAAGTTAGGACTCTGGTAAGATTCTGTATGAGGATAACCTCCCAAGGAAGAACTTGGAGCAACTCCACACCCATGCAATGGTAACTGTCAAAGAGTGACAAGAACAAAACATGTGATAAGCCCATGACAGTCACATACATATTCAAATTTGAGGAATATATTGAAGAAGTCTTCAGTTCCCAGAGGCGTTGGATTGGCAGGGAGAGAGAGATGTGACTTCCAAGTAGAGTTATAAACAGTATGTATGCTGTGCATATTCATAATCTTACATAAAAAGATGTTGCATCACAAAGCAAGCTAGACTATTAACCCATGAAACTAAAATACATGTATTTATTCCTTTAACAAAATGCTTCTCCGACTAACCGAAATTATATGCCTGATATCAACCCTACTGCAAGTATCAGCCCATCATCTACGTAGATAAAAGGAGAAGGCTCAGACCTGTGCAGCATTTTGTTCGTATGGCCCAAGTATACCCATTGTTTGAGGATATGGCAGCGGAGATGCTAAGGAGTTGATCCCCAGATTCCCAGATAAGCGACCTCCACCATATTGCCCGAAAGAAAACACATAACCTGAAACTGGGTCTAGAAGAGCACTGTCACCACCGCTTTCCGATGGGGTAAGAGGAATTGCTGAAGAAACACCAAGATGCTGGAAATAGGCTGGGGAGATTGGTATTTGCTGCGTAGCGAGCAGTTGGCCCTCCAACATCATGGGTGGGAAGGGGTTGAAGCTAAAACTAGGGTGATACATTAGAGATGGGTTTTCATTGTAGACAACCTGAGAAAGACAGCAAATACAGAGTGAAAGTGAATAAGAAGAAAGGCAAGTTGTAGGAGGAGGGATGGTACTATGAACACAAGGAATCATCCTCACCGGTGGAACATGCAGCGCCTCAGGTGTAGCATATTGAGGATATCCATCCCAGCTATTGACACTTGGCCCATAACCTGACAGCAACGAACACTCAGGTCGTTGGGGATTGGAAGGATAATGAAATAAGGAGAAGCAGAAGATACCAGTGGGCATAACATTCCATTCGTAAGGAAAATGGGTGGGAATGAGGTATGCGGCTGCTGGATTGGGGATTCCTGAGTCACTAGAAGACCCAACGTTGGCTGCATCCGTAGGAGGATACGTTGAAATAATCCTCTCATCTTTCGGCGAAAGTGGCTGATGATGACAAAATGAAAAAGAAGAAGTGCTAATACCCTAAGCTTGTCCCAAAATCCAAAGCGGTGAAAGAAGAAACGGAACAAATACCTGCTCCGCTGCATTGTCTGGCATCATTGGCCTTTCGCCTGCATCCACCACCACCACCATCATGCTTGGTTTGTAAATATGTCCCGTCGAAGGAACAAAACGGACACAGAAGAATTAATTATAGGACACCAGAAATCGCATGAGACAACCATCGACAAGGAACAACATTGAAGCAATTAACGACCCTACAAGCCTAGGTATTGGATGAATCGGTTGTCCATTTCGCCTATCGGAATTTGAGAGATTCATACAAAGAGAATAGAAACAAAAAAAACAAGGAAAAAACGAGAGAGAGAGGGAGAAAGTACCGGTAGGGACGGTTCGATTAAGCTGATCCATAGAAGGAGGAGGATCCATGGAAGGGGGGAGAGATCTGGAGATGGAAGGGGTTTTAGTGTGAGGATGGATCGGTGCGAGATTGAATTCCAAGACGTGCAAAGCGATAGAGAGAAGAAACGGGAGACGACAACTATAGTGTCTGTTAAATTATATATAATAGCGCCATCAGTTCTGTCTTTGTCGTATTCTTTTTCGGGTTTCGTTTCGTATTTATTTCATTGATTAGGAGGCGGTTGCTCCCATCGGCGTCGCATTGTAAAATTCGAATAATTGCTCAGAAAAACAAAAAGAATCGTCTTAATTAATACTAATGAAAAAAGGGGGTTGATTTAATAAGGAAAGTAAAACATGGGGAAATTAGAGTCAAATTTGGGTTTGGCTTTTCTGTACATGGGTCTAGGGGTAGCCATTTCGGTTATTAACCGAATAATCGAGCCGAACCGAACCGAATAAGATATAACCGTATTTGAACCGAACCCGACATCAAAACCGAACGGTTATGATTTACTTAAACCCGAAAAACCGAAACCGAAACTGAACCGAACCGAATAAAAAATAACCGAAAAAACCGAGAGAATAACCGATATTTTCTTTGGAAAATTGAACTTTTTACCAAAACCGAACCGAACCCGAACCGAAAAATAATCGAACCGAACCGAACCGGAATTTATATAAAAACCGAATGGTTATAGTTTTTCTATAACCGAAATAACCGAACCCGAATATAACCGAACCGAACCCGAACCGAAACCCGAATTGGCCACCCCTACTAGGTAGTGTATCCTAATTAAATTTAGAAAATATGATTTTTAATTAAAACCAAAAATCTTATATTATCCATCTATCAATAATGAGCTCTGCTGTTTTAGTGATTTTCATTTTTTTTTATATTTTAATGATGATACATATATTGTCAATACATGTAATCATATAACCGAACCGAACCCGAACCGAAGCCCGAATTGGCCACCCCTACATAGGTCAGTTTAGGCACAACATTTGTTCGGTTCAGATTACCCGGTCATTGGGTGGTCATTTCGGTATTCAGGTCAGAATTTTAGCGGTTTAGTTCAGATACTGTTATTCGGTATTCTAAAATTAGTACCAAATTAGTATCGTATATTATTCGATTCGGTTCCGATACGGTTCGGTTTCGATTTTTATTAAAAAAAATTAGATTTACTTAAGAAAATTTTTATTTTTCGGGAATTTTATAAAGTCCGGTTCGATTCGATTCGGTTTCAGAAAATTCAGATCTATAAAAATCATACCGTTCGAAAATTTTAAACGATACGATTAAAAAAATACCGAAATTTTCGGTTCGGTACGGAACCGAACCAAAACGACTCACCCTACTCGGTGATAGAAAAATATATATATCGATCGATATTCGGTTTGATATTCGGTTCGGTTTGGAGCAATACCGACTTTTTCAGTTCCGTCCGGTTTGGTTCCTCGGAACCCAAACGTTCACCCCAAGGATCGAAATAAGGGAGAGCCCAAAACCCTGATACGGTTCACTGAAGGAAGGAGAAAATGATGGAGAGAATCGGATCTGGAAGCAGATCCATCGGGAGAATCGTGCTCGGCCTCTGCCTCGTTTGCGTGGTTAGTGTTCCATTCCTATGGAGATTCAGCGTCGTTCTACATCTCCTTTGATTCGGTTTGATTGATTTCGCGTTTCATGACATAATAATAGTTCCTATCGGCTCTGTCGTCTGGATCTTCCCATGGGGACCGCAAAGCAGGGAGTTCTTCCGTATTCTCGTTGTTCAATCTCAGAGAGAGAAGTAGGTTTTGGAGCGAGTCTGTCATCCGTAGCGGTATAATATGTTCATTCTCTTCCTCACGCTTTTTATTCACTATTTAACCAGTTCGATCGTATTGACAGTGTTGTCGTGTTTCAGATTTTGACGATTTGGAGTCTTCAGTTCCATGGAATTCAGGTGTTCTCAATTACACTAAGGCAGGTAATCGCGCCTTTCCGTTCCCTTTACTGTCACTTTCTTATTTCTCTCCATTTGACATGGTTGAATCTTATGAGGTCATATGCTTGTCGTTTTTTTACACCTTTTTCAGGAAATATCGCAAGTTACCTAGAGCTTATGGAAGTCGATTCCATTTATCTTCCTGTTCCAGTCAATTTCATTTTCATTGGATTTGAAGGGAAAGGAAACCAAGGTGAATAAGCTTTGTCTAATCATGCTCTTCTGGAGGGTTGAAGCCACATAAAGTTATATTTTTTTTTTGGCCCATAACGTTTCTGCACCTTCACCAGAGTTCAAACTCCATCCCGGGGAATTGGAGCGCTGGTTCACAAAATTCGATCACATCTTTGAACATACCCGAGTTCCTCAAATCAAAGAAGTTCTCAACCCCTTTTACAAGATTAGCATTGACAAGGACCTAAGACACCATCTTCCTATCATCAGTCGAGTCAACTACAAGTATGGTGTACATCTTCTCCTTGCTGCTTATTCTTGAAGGTTGATTTTGTTTTCACCTAGATGTTGGCTGAGTTTTGTTTTCCCTTTTCTGCAGCTTTTCTGTTCATGCCATTCAGATGGGAGAAAAAGTGACATCCGTGTTCGAGCGTGCCATTCACGTTCTAGCACACAAAGATGATGTGTCTACTAACAGGTGATACAGCTTAAACAATTTCCCGTTTTAGTTTTGGTGCATTAGGGAGATCAAAGCCTGCAGGCCAGTTGGTTACTGCAAATTTACGTCACTCGATAGTTCTTTGCTGCTTCATTCTATGGCCTTGTGTAATGGCATCAGGGACGAGGCAAATGCTCTATGGCAAGTGGATGTAGATATGATGGAGTTTCTCTTCTCTAGCCTTGTCAACTATCTTCATCTTGAGGATGCATACAACATTTTCATTTTGAACCCGAAACATGACATCAAAGGAGCCAAATATGGATATCGGTAAGCGCTTGCTTTCGATGGTTCTTTTTGTCTTACTCTCAGGAAATAGTCTGGACTTACAAAATTCTTTTGCAGGAGAGGGTTATCCGAGTCAGAAATCTCTTATCTGAAAGAGGTTATTCTAGTTTCCTCATGTTCTTTCGTGCTTCCATATGACATGAAAGTGAAACCCTGGAAAGTGGTCTCTCAGCAAGTGCTCTTTCTTTCTGACAGAATAAGGACTGGCTAACTAAAATTCTTCAATCAGGAAGTCCATCAGAAAGTATTTTAGGTATGAGAAGGCAAACATATAATATTAAATGATTTAAAATCTCTCGATGATTCTAACGTCATGCCTGCTGTTGAATAATTTGTAGCATTTGATAAGATGCGGAAGCCATTGTATGAGAAGCATCCTATGTTGAAATTTGCGTGGACAGTCTCAGAGGATACTGATACGGTGAGTTCTTCCACAATTAATGTTTTTATCCTATTTGTTCTTGTTCAACGTCTCTTGACATGATAGGCACTTTCCTTCCTACACCAATTTGTTCGATGAGGAGTCGAGGATGATGAACTTTGTGTGAATTAACCTAGGATGGGATGACATTTCATGTTCACTGTTGCAGTTTGATCTGAAGTGTTGCTCATCCCAATGTTCGAGTTATCAGATAATCATTAGAAATGCTTTAACCCTGAGTTTTTTATGAGATTCTATGTTGAAGGTTCCTGATGTTTTTTCGATGGTTTTAGTACTGCCGCGGTGTTAGGTGTTTGATACAAAAAAATCATGATTGTACCATTGTAGCTACTTCCTCACTAGAAAAATTATGGGATTTAATGTGCTGCAACTCTGTTGCGTCCTAATGTTCTAAAGCGTCAGTATTTTTATATATTTTCAGGTAGAGTGGTACAATGCTTGCGAGGATGCTCTGAACAAGTTGGAACAGCTATACCAAGGTAAAGATGCTGCCGAGCTCATTAAGAGCAAAATTTTACAGGTATACATTAGACCTGACATTGTTTGGTTACCGGGACCTTGTATTTTTTATGCTTGTACATGTGGTTAACGTTTTCTCAATTGATTTAAGTTTAAAGGAAAAAACGAAGACATGAATATTCTTCTTGAAAAGAGCATAAAATCCGGAGACTTCAGCAATCTTAATGCAGAATGTTTGACTGATATCTGGATTGGAATGGGCAGGTTACCTTTCTATCTCTTTATATTTGTATGTGAATGTGTACCTGTGTTTAAGCTTGTTTTCTGGGCATAGTGCACAGAATATGCATGCCAACATTTTGAAAAGCTGTATTATGCTTGATGTGAACATTCCCTACCAGATGGGCATTCGTAGACCTGAGTGCTGGCCCTTTCTCGTGGGGACCTTCTGTTGGTGGAGAAGGAGTTCGGACAGAACTTAGTTTGCCAAATGTGGAAAAGACAATTGGTGCAGTTGCAGGTACTATTCGCTATAATTCTTCTGCATTTGAGGTCATTAATTGCAAACATCTTAATTGTCTTAACTATATTTTCCACTTGTAAATTAGATACAACTCCGTTAATTGATGGAATCTTTTTCGTCATTGTTTTGTATTGTCTTATGTTTTGGGTTTTGGCCTGTCATTTCCTAGCTTTCCATTAATTTCTTGTGTCTGATTATATTTTCACAACTAGAAATATCTGAAGATGAAGCAGAAAACAGACTGCAAGATGCGATCCAGGAAACATTCTCTGTATTTGGAGAGGTATGTTTGGTTTGATGAAATGAAAATAAATTCGATCAATGAGCTTTAGCTTGGGAGTGTTGGAGTCATCTTCAATTCTGGAGGGACAAGTTTGGACAGATAACAGATCAACCAGAAGAGCAGAACATTAGATTCAAACTACTTTTGGAGCTACTTAAATATAGAGTCTATGTCTACGATTGGAGATAGGAGAACAGAGACAGGGTCTAGGTGTGGGGTTATAGGGATCGTTCATTACATTTTATGAGAACCTCATCTCCGTGTGATTTGTTTCACCATATTTCACAAAGGTGAACATATCACATCTCAAGCGAAGGGCTGGTTCAGGTCTCTATCTTTCTTCATGCTGATGCATATTGTGATAAGTGCATGTAATATGATGATGTTTGGCTCCTAAGGTCTTGTAAAAGATTTTGCCTGAATTAATATGGATTTATTTTCTGGTACTTCAATTATCCTTTACCTTATTAAATGTTCTTATGGTCAATACTTATGATTAATCTTGCTCATCCTTTGAAGTTCTTATGATCGATACTTACCATCCAATTTGTTTTTGTCATCTCAGAAAGAACATCAGGCTATTGACATTCTTCTAGCAGAAATTGATGTATATGAACTGTTTGCATTCAAGCACTGCAAGGGAAGGAAAGTGAAGCTCGCTCTTTGTCAAGGTGGTGCTGTTCTTTAGATATGTTTTGTGGATATTGATTTCATTTATCTCCCGTTGGTTTTTTCTTCATCTTGATTAGATTTAAGATGGAATTGACACATCGATTGATTTTCATGGTGGAGTATTCCCAAATGCTGTACCATTTTCTTTGCATACTCTTTCATTCTATTTGATTTTGCTACTGTTTCAAAAGCTAATACTGTTTTCTCATGTCTTCTTTTGACCTAGAACTTGACGAGAGAATGCGGGATTTGAAAACTGAGCTCCAGTCATTTGGAGGAGAAGAAAATGATGAAATTCATAAGAGAAAGGCCATGGATGCACTGAAACGGATGGAGAGCTGGAATTTGTTTAGTGATGATTATGAGGTATTTGCTTCAGTTTGGCGACTTAGACTGTTAGACATTGATTCTGCAGTTCTCTATTAGAGAACTTAGAACATTGTATTAAGCTGTCAACTGTGCAGGAGTTCCAAAACTACACAGTTGCTCGTGATACCTTCCTTGCACATTTAGGTGCAACGCTTTGGGGATCCATGAGGCATATAATATCACCTTCAGTTGCCGATGGTGCATTCCATCATTATGAGAAGATTTCCTTTCAGCTTTTCTTCATCACGCAAGAGGTATGTCTATGTCAAATGGTTCAATGAACTACCCTTCAATGCCAAGCAAATTGTTATTTCTGCATCCCTTGATACTCTCAAAATTTTACTCCACCAGAAATCACTTGTACCTCTGGAAATTTTGACTATAAAGAGGATTTTGCTCTCTTGCCAATGAATTTCCCCAAGAAAATATCCTGAATCGTAATGCTATGATTCCCTTATTTATACCGCAAACAACTGGGCAACTACTGCTTACTAACTAATGCTGACCTGGCACTAGCCTGTGCGAGTTAGTAATTACAATAATCATGTTGCAGAACTAACTTGGCCTTGAAATCTCTGAACACAAATCTATCTAGTCTTAACATTTGTCCACACTTCTGCAACTTTCTGATGCCCTGCAAGTCTTTTTCGTGTTCCCACATGAGTAAAACAACCTAAAAGCCTTCTCTTTGTTGTCGTTGTTATACCATTTCTGTCATTAAAATCTGATGAGACGTGTCATGGAGTAGATGAAACAACATATGTTTTTTGGTAATAAGTAGTCTTAGTTTAGGAGCTATTGGGGTTCAAACCCCCAACCTATCATTTAGTGAAAAAGCACATGCAGCCTCTAGGCTATCATGCTTTCCAAATGAAACAACAATTGTTTTATTCTCAAGAGGATTTTTTTTTGTTTTGAAAATGAAAGGTCATTGGAACTAAACACTTCGTCCTACGACAGCCTGAGTTCTTGTTCTTCGCCAGTTTCTGACTCTGTAGATGTTGAAAAGATTAACCCTCCACTTTATTGGTGCAGAAAGCTAGAAACATCAAACAGCTTCCAGTGGATCTCAAAGTGCTCATGGATGGGCTTTCGTCACTCTTGTTACCTTCACAGAAGCTTATGTTCAGTCAGCATATGTACACATTCTCATCCCTTCAATTCTTAAACCACTGTGGTTAGGGTTATCTATTTGTTGATTGAAATAAGAGAGACTATCTTTTATATATATATTTGACTTTGGTGGTTTTTCATTCTGTTCAGTATGTAATCAGAGATATATTTTATATGCTTTTTAAAACATGATAGGTTAACACTATCTGAGGATCATGCATTGGCTATGGCTTTCTCGGTAGCACGGCGAGCGGCTGCTGTCCCCTTATTGCTTGTTAATGGAACATATAGGAAGACAGTTCGTTCTTTTCTTGATTCCTCAATCCTTCAGCATCAGTTGCAGAGGCTGAATGATCACGCCTTTCTCAAAGGTCAGCTGGCAGAAGAATTTTTTTCTTAGGCGTCAGTGGTTTTGTGTGATGTTGTCACTGGTTCCCTCAGTTTTGACCCTCTCATTGCAATGAAGAAGCCTTCCCTTGATTAATCTAGGAACTGCTTACTGATTAAAGAATTTTCTTTTCGTTTTGCCTACATAAGTTCATTTTATACGCAGAACATGCGGGACATCACACGTCTATCTATATGAATAAAAACAATCTTTACTAGGTATTCTCCTTTGTTATACTGTAAAACTCTGGTCTGATAATCATATCAAATCTCAACCTAAGATCATGTACAAAAGATCTGGTTTATCGTCTTTTCTAGTGTCCTGTAATTGTTGTTGTTGTTGGCCACTGATGGATTACATGAATATATTCTGTTTGACTGTGAAGCTGCTTCATGAAGAGTAAGTGATATTGATGCTGTCCCTAGCACTGACATTATGAGTTTTCTTTGCATATAATTCAGGTGCTCATGCCCACAGCAGGTCTACTCTTGAGATTCCGATATTTTGGCTCATCAATGTGGATCCGCTGCTGATTGACAAGCACTATCAAGCAAAGGCACTGCCAAATATGGTCATTGTTGTCCAGTCGGAGGCATCTTCATGGGAGAGCCATTTGCAGTGTAATGGGAAATCGCTTCTCTGGGATTTGAGGTTAGAATTTTCTGCATCTATATATGCATGTTTCACCAATTGTTTTTATTAGAAGATTTTTGGTAAAATGTCGAGTCAGATTTTTGTGTTCCAGAAGTACTGTTAGTGCCAGATGAATTTTCTTTGTTCCTCAACGGAAGCAATCATCCATTCCTTTGTCTTTATAATTTAGGAGTCCCGTAAAAGCGGCCTTGGCTGCTGTTGCCGAACATCTAGCTGGATTGCTTCCTCTTCATCTTGTCCATAGTCAAGCTCATGAAAGTGCGATTGAGGTATGAAATTCGACAATCAAATAATGCTAATTGGAATTGTTTTCATGACCCATGAGAATTTTATTGTGTGGGCAATATTTTTGCATAATTGTCGCAGAGAGGACACTGTCTGCAATGATCTGTGAAACAAACGGAGTCATTGGTCATGAATCACATTACTCTTATCAGCTAAACTTTTGGTGATTCTAATGTGCAAGAAAATTCTCTCGCAGGAGTGGACATGGTCAGTGGGCTGCAACCCCTTTTCCATAACATCTCAAGGTTGGCGCCCGTCACAGTTTCAGTCAGACACAATTGCTCGGAATTATATTATTACAGCACTTGAGGAATCAATTCAATCAGTGAATTCAGCCATTCATCTTTTGATGCAGGAGCGAACAAGTATCCTTGGATGTCTTTTATACTTTCACAACAAAAGAGAAAACTGATACGTCACGGTATAAATGTTTTATACTGTTTAGAACTTTTTGTAACCTTGACACAGAAAATAAGCCGAGAAGACGTTTAAGCTCTTTCAGTCAAGAGAGCGTGAGCTGGTGAACAAGTACAAATACGTTGTTAGCCTCTGGAGAAGGGTGAGTAGTAAAGTTTTTGTCTTTTCCTTTTTGCCATGGGTTGAGAAGAGTAACAGATTTGTGTTTTTTTTTTTTCGTGTGTGGTACCAACCAGCTTTCAACCATAGCCGGAGAATTACGTTTCCCGGACGCCATGAGATTTCTGTATACGTTGGAGGATGCCACCAGCGGGTTAGGGCACTTTCCCTATTAACTTTCGATTTGGCTGGTTATTCGTTTTTGTTGTAATAACAAATGTTTTTTTTTATGTCCAGATTTGTGAGGGAAGTGAATGCAACAGTGGATCTGTTGCATCCAATTCACTGCTCAAAAGAGAGGAAGGTGAAAGTGGAAGTGGACTCTATCACAGTGCCCGCTTTCGTGGTGGTCGTGGCTGCCCTTTACTTTGCGCTGAAGCCGAGAGCACCCAAGCCTAAAATCAACTGATCTTCCGTCTAACAGACAGTACATTACTATTTCATAAGACCATGTTTTTTTTAAAAATAATTTAGAAATGAAATGATGTAGCAACAAGGTACACCTTCTTGTCTTGTCTCATCTCGTTAAGCTGCCAGTTATAGAGATAGAGTAATGGCTACAAGCGCTTTTGTTAGAGAGATCCGGAGAAGAAAAAAATAAGGGAGAAGAAAGAGAGAGAAGGAGGAGGAGCCTTATATTTTCTTTTCCTTTTTTTTTTTTTTTGTATGTTCGACTTTTGCTCCTCGTCTCTCTCTCTCTCTCTATATATATATATATGTATATATATGTGTATTATAGGATGTCATATCAGAAGCGAAACCGTATTTGTCAGGGAGCAAGATCGTCAACTGCTACCAGCACCGAGAGCGAACGACAACTGAAAGCTATGAATTATTGATTGCGAATTATATTTATTAATCTTTGGATTGGGTTTTTGACTTGCAAGAATTCTCCATACTTCTGTTACTCTTCTAGTCGTTGTCATCCAAGATTCTCTCTCTCATATTAGAAATAATGTTAGTATGTGTCTTAATTATATAATTTGGCTTTTAGGATTATGACAGTTAGGTATCTGCTATAAAAAAAAAAAAAACAAAGACCAATTACATTTTTATATTTTGAAATCTGCTCTCGCTTTTACCAACTAGGATTAAGGTTTCCAATAACATAATGCTAATTTTCTTGTGCAATGTGGCTCAGGTAAGTTTCTTTTATGTCTTCTTTTTAATAATTTGTGCTGAGAAGTGAATTCCTTTTTGTGTTTAGTTTTTTTAAAATAAAAAGTTAAAAACAAATCAAAGAATTTCTCTTGCTCTTTTTATTTCAAGTAGAGGCGGTCAATTATAAATCGATATCTTTAAACTTTGTATATTCGAACTAATCTTCTTTCCTCTCTGGATCAACGCACATTCATACTAATTTTTTGATTTCATGGATAAATTCAGACATGGATCTTCCTAAAGAGAAAATGATATTATAATGTAGAATTGATCATTACAAAGCAAGATTTGTGAAAACAATGTTACCAAAAAAAAAAGATTTGTGAAAACAGTGTACATGCAAATGGAAGGTGATTGGTTACGTTATTATTTTACAGATCTAATGTGTTTTATTATTATTATTTTATTATGTGTATATATATACACACACACACTCAAGGCGCCTGACACGATCTTGATACGATTCAATGCAAGATGGAATTTAAATTCCAATCTTTTCAAATGCACGTGAATCATGGTCTGTCAATTGGGTCCATCTACATAAACTGATGTCAACGAGCAATAAATTATCGAATTATTAATTAAATCATGCATGATGGTTTCGAGGAACTTGCCAATATATATTACATACACTGTGTTATTACTATTCATCTAAAGCTGCTCTCTCCACGAAATTGGCTACAATGGCGTTCGACTTCCTAAACATCTTCTTCCTCCTACTACTATTTTTCTTCTCCTTTCTCACAGTCTCTGTCTTCAATGGCAGAAACCGATCATCAAACAACGTTTGCCATTTGCCTCCAAGTCCTCCGGCTTTACCGGTCATCGGTCATCTCCACCATCTCCTGTCCGTCCCATGGTTCAAGTCCCTGCAAAAGCTCGGCTCCAAATACGGACCTCTCCTCTATCTCCGCGTCTTCAACTCCCCCTTCATCGTCGTTTCCTCGGCCTCTTTCGCGTACGAAATCCACAGAGCTCAAGACTCGAACTTCGTCTCACGTGACGCTCCCGCCATCGAGAAGTCTCTACTGTTCGGAGCATACGGATTCGTGACCGCGCCCTATGGGAGTTACTGGAAGTTTATGAAGAAGCTGACCGTTACGGAGCTGCTCGGACCGCAAGCCCTCGAGAAATCGCGCTGCATCAGAGGGGAAGAGCTCGAGAGATTTCGGGTTCGGCTGTCGAATAAGGCGAGGAAGAATGAGATTGTGGATGTGGGCATGGAAATGATGAAGCTCACGAACAATAGCATATGCAGGATGATAATGGGGACGAGGTGTTCGGAGGAAAACGGAGAAGCCGAGCAGGTACGAGAGTTGGTCACCAAGTCATTTGCCTTGACGAAGAAGTTACTGGTTGCCGCTACAGTCGGCAGATCGGTGAAGAAACTAGGGTTTACGCTGTTCGAAAAGGAGATCATTGATGTCTCTAGGAGATACGACGAACTGTTCGAGAAGATTATCACCGAACACGAACAGAACCCTAACCGAGGAAACAAGGACATGATGGATATCATGCTGGAAGCTTGTCGAGAGGACAACGCCGAGTTTCAGATCACAAGGAACCATATCAAATCATGTTTCGTGGTAATGTCTCACTTCAACTAAATCGAATTTTCGTTTACTTTTTCGTCACGTATGATGACATTGTGATAATCTCGTAGGATTTTTTCCTCGGAGGGACCGACACTTCAGCTCAAACAACGCCGTGGATAATGGCGGAGATCATTAACAACCCTCGGGTTCTCCAAACATTGAGAAAAGAAATCGAATCTGCGTTAGGAAAACCGAGGGTAATTCAAGAAATCGATCTACCGAAGCTTCCCTATTTGCAAGCCGTCGTAAAGGAAGGGCTAAGGCTGCATCCACCGGCCCCTATCTTGTCGAGAAAAACACTGAAAGACTGTAAGGTCGGAGGGTTCGACATACGAGAAAACACGACGATAATCATTAACGCGTATGCAATAATGAGAGATCCGGATTCATGGGAGAATCCAGAAGAGTTTAGGCCGGAGAGATTCTCCGTTGCTAGCTCTGAAGGGGAAGAAGGCGTTGGGAAAGAGCACGTGCTGAAATACCTTCCTTTCGGGGGTGGAAGACGAGGGTGTCCCGGTTCGAACTTGGGTTACATATTCATGGGAACAGCGGTCGGGACCATGGTCCAGTGCTTTGACTGGAAAGTCAACGGAGAGAAGGTCAGAATAGAAGAAGCCGGAGACATGAACCTAACCATGGCTCATCCACTTGAGTGCACTCCTCTTTCTCGCTTCTAATCTCCATATATTTCTAGTTCAATGATCTGTTGTGGTATTTGTTTGTTTGGTAATTTGTTTCCGATTACCGAAAATAATTTATTTATGGAGATCCAATACTATCTATCTACGTTGTAAAATAAATTACAGAAAATAAATTACGGAGAAAAACTTCTAACAAACCTCGAACTTGCAAAAAAATATATAAATAAACCTTCGAATTTGTTGCAAAATTGTCATTTAATCCCCAAACTTGCAATATGTAACTGAATAAAACTTTGAACTTGCAAATTGTTACTCTAATAACCCGTTGACCGGTTTAACCACAATTTCAGGTGATCGAAAATCCACGTTGGCCCGGAAAGTTGATGTCAGCGTGTCCATGTAACCAACTTTAAATGATTTTTTGCTCCAAAACCGTATTTATTTACTCTCAAACCAGATTAAATTTCGACCCAAAAAATGTTGAGGTGGCAAAAAATCATTTAAAGTCGGTTATGTGGAAAAGCTGACATCAATTTTTCGGGCCAACATGGATTTTCGATCACCTGAAATTGTGGTCAAACCAATCAACGGGTTATTAGAGCAACAATTTATAAATTAGAAGTTTTATTCATTTATATGTTGCAAATTTAGGGTTTAAATGTCATTTTTATAAGAAGGTTTATTTGTATATTTTTTTACAAATTCGAGATTTTTTAGGGATTTTTCCCTAAATTATGTTAAAAAAGATTAAAAACCGAAAAGATGTCTAATTCGAGAGAAAAAATATGATGAAACACCCAAGATTGACCGGTTCAATCGAAAAAGAAGGGAGCAAAACTCCTTTCCAACACAGATTCGAGTTATCACTTGGATTTCCCGATCTTCTGAGAGATGTAGTTGGACTTAAGATCTGATGAACTTTCAGATTATAAAAAAATATATATACGATGAAATGATATAACTTTTCAAAATGTAATTTTTTTAATCTTTTTATATCTATATTACCTTTACTAATATGTGTTGACGAAATGAATTTTTAATTATACTTATTATACATAATTTATTTTTAAAATGGTTGAAAATGATACTCCCTATATTTAGTTTGAAATGTCGTATATTTTTTAAATGGTTGAATTGTTACTCCCTTCATTTGGTTTTAAACAAGCATATTAAAGAGAGAAAAAAAGTATTCTGTCCAAATTACCTTTTTTAATTAGTTTATTTTTTCAATACCATTAACTTTTTCTCTCTTATCATTATCAACCATTGGAATAAAGAATAAATTTAGAGAAAAAAAAGGGACAAACTCAAAAAAAAACATTTCAACTATCTCATTTACACCAAAAAAACCTTCTATTCAAAATTAATTATAAAAAATCAACAACTATATCAACTATATAAATTGATTAAAACTAATTTTTTATTTAAAATTTGTTATAAAAAATCATCAATTATTAATTTTAATAAAAAAAATTTATCATCTATCTAAATTACTCAAAAAAAATATTATATTTGATATTTATTATAAAAATCTATAAAATTTGAATAGAAAAACATACATAAATTATACAAGTTTAAAAATCACAATAAAAATATAATATTTATTTAAATTTATCATGTTTAAAATTTATACAAATATTATAAATATCAATCTTTATATAATAAATTTGTATATAAATATTATATTTAAAATTGAGTCTATTTTATTGGTTATAAATATTATATTTAAAATTTTATCATATATTAATATTTGAAAGATTTCAATTGTATATATTTTGTTAATTATAAATATAAGAGATAATATATGTATTTTTTTAAAATAAAATAAAAATATGGTAATTTTTGTATATAATAGCGATTAAATATATTTTATTGGTTATAGATTTTTCTATTTAGAAAAAAATATTTTTTATAATTTCAAATAGATGATGAATTTTTTCATTAAAATTATTATAAAAATGTATGAAACTTTTTTAATTGTTATAGAAAAATCAAATTAATAGTTTGCTACCCCTCAAATATTGATATATGATAAAACTTAAATATAATATTTACAACCAATAAAATATTTTAAATTTTAAATATAACATTTGTATACAAATTTATTATATAAGAATTAATGTTTATAATATTTATATAAATTTAAAATATTATAATATGATAAATTTAAATAAATATTATATTTATATTGTGATTTTTAGAATGGTATAATTTATATATATTTCTATTCAAATTTTATATATGTTTATAATAAATTTAAAATAAAATATTTTTTTGAATAATTTAGATAAATGATGAATTTTTTTTATTAAAATTAATAGTTGATGAATTTTTATAACAAATTTAAAGTGAAAGATTGGTTTTAAATAATTTATATAGTAGATTGGTTTTTTATAATAAATTTTAAATAGAAGGTTTTTTTAGCGTAAATGACATAAGTGAAGAGTTTTTTTGGGTTTATCCTAAAAATATATATAGAAAATCTAAAAATGTTATTTGTTTTTAAAAAGAATGATATTCTAAAATATCATGTAAAATTAAACGGAGGATACATCTTTTCAAAATGATATATTTTCTCAAAATGTAATTTTGTTTTTGTCTTTTTTTTTTATCTACATTATCTATACTAATATTTGTTGCCGGAAACCAATTTTTAATACATTTATCTTTCTAAACAGTTGTAATACAAGGCTCTACCTAGGATATCAATTTGGGTATGAAGCCGGACTCGAATCATCCGAAAAATATTAGGTTTCGGATTTTCGGACCGAGTCTAAATCGGGCTCGAATTTTTTTCGGGCAAAACCCGACGGATTGAACAGTCCCAAAACCCCGATTTATTTATTTTTTAAAATAAATAAATTAAAAATATATAAAAATTGATTTTTTTATATATATATTAAGGGGGACGGTCTGATTTGATCCGAGCCCGAATTTTATGGATAGGGCTTCGTACTTCATTTATTAGACCCAAAAAATCGGGTCTGTTCGAACACAAAACCTTTAGACCAAATATAAGTTCAGATCGGATCGGCCCGATTGACATCTCTACTGTTAGGAAAGCAAAAGAAAAAAAGCGATAAAAAAAACTAAATCAAAACACTGAAGCACAGACAAAGGAGAAGAGCAGAGCATAGAGAGAGAGAGAGCTAATTTTACTAAAACTACATAGTACTAAATAGGGAATAAATATTACAATCCGAAAGAAGCTAAGACATCAAAGGACGTTACGAAAGTCCCACAATTTATTACATTTTTCACAACTGTTGCTACATTTCTGATTCAGAAGAAGGCCCTGCTCCCGTAGAACACGCGAGAGCCGGCGCTCTTCGGTGTCTGAGAGGACGAGGTCGAGTTCTCTGATCTTGTCGGGCTGTCAATGTCCAGAGGGAGCTTCATCTTGGCCAATGACTCCGTGAACTGCTGCATGCTTTTCATATACATGTCCACTATCTCTTGCTGCACCACCTTCTGCTCCGGCTCAATGTTCACCGTCAGAATCTGTTTCACTTCGTCGTTCTTGCCTAGAGGGCGGTTCTCGGAATCCGCTGCCCCAGCTTTCGGGTTCGGGTCTGCACCCGAAGGGTTTTCCTCGTTTGGAGCACCTGAAGAACCAGAGATTACGGAACTTGGTGGGGAAGAGACACCATTTGTTGAGACAGTGGGAACTGGCGCTGTTTCAATGGTTGCAGCTTGAAGGCTACATGTTTCAGGGTTGCCGGTTTCTGAACTTACCATACTCTTTGACATGTCAGATTCGACGTTGGCCGTACAAGGAATTCCAAAGTACTCAGACACCATAAGATTGTTTTCGCTATCAATGTTCGGATCCACGAACTCAATCTTATCCAACTCGTTAGAAATCTCTGCAATCGCCTCGGGACATTTCGAGGTTTCATCACGTATGGCAGGAATGGGCATTACCTCGGGCGAATCTCCCAGGTACGAGAGCGACAACTGGACGAAACCCGCAGGAGAATGGAACAGATCCGTCGACGAAAGAGAGAACTCTTTCTCCAATTTCCCATTCTTGAGAATGATTTCAGACAAGGGAACCAGAGTAAACCCAAGCAACTGGTCCTCGAGATAATTCTTCACACGGCTCATCATATATATCTCACACTTGAGGGAACAATCCACGGTCTTCACATTCAGCTCGAGGGTGTCACCGAAAACAGGGTTTCTCCCTCCGCCATTGATGATCTTGGTGCAAACAGCATTGCTCGGATCACTGGTGAGACAAAGCTTAGCATACACATCCTGCTTATGGTAAATGCAGATGTTCTGGATGTCCCTTGCCTGGTGAACCAAAACCTCGAGCGCACCTATGAAGTTGTCCGAATTTGAAGACATGTTAGGTTTCTTTGTCTGGGCTTCACTGCCATTCGAGAGACTACAACTGTTGAACTGAGACACCACAGATTGCGGAGACTCCATAACAGGATCTGCAAACAAGCAAGGGGTAGTAAATTCATTTGGATTTCACATAAGATTTTTCCTTAGGACGGACAGTGAAAGTAAACTCGATTCCATTTAGCAAGAACTTAATGAAAGAGGAGAGATCCAATTCCCCCCACAATCTCGGAAATTTCAAACACAGCAATTAAAGACGCCCGCCAGGCCAAACTCAAGAACACGAAAAATTAACAGTTTGGTCTCAAAAATTACCTGAACTGAAGCAAGCAGATAAATTTATGAAGACCCAGAAGGCAAATAAGCTATAAAACGTCTTCCAATTAGAGAATTATATGCCTCAATGCAACGGAACATCCGGAATCCCTAGGAAAACCCAGAAGGCGTAGACGAATTCCGAGAAAGGAACCGACTTTCTCGAGAAACAAAAAGAACCCAGAATTCAAGGGACGAGAATGAATCATTAAAAAGCAAAACTTGAGATTACTGGACACGAGAAAGATAAAGAAACGCTGCAAATTTTTCTAGAAAAGGAAAAGGGTAAAGCTAGAAATTGAAGCTCCTCTCACCTTTTCTATGTGGAGGAAAGGTCAAAAGCAGGAAACGTCTCTGTTCTTCTCGGAATCTGAGCGAGGAATAAGCAAAACCCACTTGGGATTTTTCTCGAGCTTTGGTTTATGGAAGAAGAAGAAGAAGAAACGATTAAAAATAAAAATATAATTAATAAAAAAAAAAGTGAGGAGCAATTATTATCGATATCTGTTCTTCGTAGACGAGTGTGAACCAGCCTTTTGTAGGTATACCGGCACAAGGGGGGCGGCTACTGTTTTGTCTCTTTGCTCCGAATACAGACCGCGTGGTATGATTTCCGAAATATTTTTCTTTTTGTCCGGATTTGTTTTTCTCTCTTGTCTGATTTGTAAATTTAGAAATTACGTGCCTTCTTTTTTTAATTCAAATTTGTATTTAACGGGGGGAAAAGAAAATATCTTTGAACCGACAAAAAAAAAAGGGAAAACCGTTAGGGAAATGAAGATTTGAAATTTCCAAATTGGAAAAAGTCAAGCAACTAGAATCCAAAACAATCAATGTTCACCCACAATTCGATTGATTTTGTAACAATTTTTTCTATGAATTTATTGAATAATTTGGCGGTGGTACACGTCGTTATTACATATCAAAAGAGTACCAAATATTTAAATAGTTATAAATTTATTAATTATCATAATTTATTAAGTCCACTAAAAATGGTAGGCATATCTTTAATTTTTTTTTAAAAAATAATAATATTACAATCTAAACCTTAATTTGAAAAGATAGGATTTTCTTTTCACCAAACGCCCGGTTATTCGAAATATGTGTTTGGACAATTTAAGTTGCACTTAAAAAACTAATAACAATAGAGAGGAATTAAAAAAAAATGGTATAAAGACCATTATCTTAAATGTGAAAAAATTATATTAAAAAAACACCTAAAAAGCTTGAAGAAACTATAATTTGAATTTGAAAATCTGTTAAGAGTAGGGATATAAATCAAGGAGGCAAATATTATAAATAAAAAATAAATATAGAAAAGAAATTTGTTTGAAAGCTTGGTAGAACATAAAAACGAATGTCAAAGAAGCGTTGAATATTTTCTAAACAATAAACAATGAAGTATTGTAAAGAAAAAAAATGAATCAAAAGTAAAATTGATTATACAATATAAAATGAATAATAAAAATTAAAAATACCAGGTGAATAATAAATGCTTTTTGTTATGTCAAATGAAAAATCAATATTCAAAAGTCCGGTCAATAGTGAAAGAAAACTTTATAATTAAAATAGAAAAAAGAAAATAGGACAAAACCGTAACCGGTCGGCATAAACGGCTGAGATTGCATCTGTTAAATCGACTGTTGGATAAAATCTTATAAATCGAAGGATAAGAGAGTTTCTGAATCGATGGTTGGGATAAATCCTGAATAATTAACGGTTGCGATCGAATTTCTACATCAACGGTTCACATTCAATTGACTATATTAATGATTGTGATCAAATCTGGGTAATCAACCGTCTAGATATCATCGGTATAATTAATGGTTAAGATCGAATTTCATGAATTTGACGGTTAAGATTTGTTTTGGAAAACGACGGTTGAGATGTTTTCCTATGTGAGTGACCGAATCAAAAGTTCAAATAATTAGGGTGTCAATTTGGTTACAAATTCTGTCTGAAAATTTCAGAATGATCGGTTTGAATTTGTAGGTTAAAAAATATTTGAATTTTTGATTCAATTCAAATAGGTCTACGAGTTTGTCGAATTAAACCCGAAGGATTTCGGATTGATCTAAAAGTATGATTTCTTTAAATACAAAAAATAATTTAAATAAAAAACTTTAATCAAATGGGTTGAACCCGAACTCGAATATATAGGGTCAAATCCAATCCTGAATCATATATGGTCGAAGTTTGGATTTAGTTTTATAGATTCAAAAAAATTCAGATCGATGCGAACCTGAGTTCGAAACCATCGGACCCAATGTGAATTCGGATCGGATCGAGAATGTGTATTTGTATATAGTGTATAGTTCATAGGCATATACACATAGATACACATATTCTAAACATATATATATAAGTTCATACTAATTTTAATGGTTAGAGAAACCTATATGAAAGTTTATTCTTAAACTTTAAAGTTCGAATTCAAAATGATACAAACATTAAACATTTCGTTTCATGATCAAATTTTGGTAATGGAGATTATAGTTTGATAGCCAATAACATAAATAACTTATCCATATTTAATCCACCAAAATTATGTTTGTGTTTCATCTTAAACATAGAAAATGGATAATTAATATTTTTTTTGCCTTTTTAATACACGAATTTGATTTAAAAGATACAAGATTGATAAAATTCTCAATTTTGAATTGATTTGTATAACTAGGTGAAAATTGATAAAACCTAAGGTGATTAGAGAGTTTCGGTTTGTTATTAGTGATAATTAATTAACATTTCATGCAATGAACAATATAGTTTTGTAGTCCACCAAATTTGCATATACACATTGATTTCAGAAAGGAAAAAAAAAAAGAAATACACAAATTGATGAATGACCCAAATAAAATAATACACAATCACACGTATTAATCCGTGTACAAAATTCTAAGAAAACTGTCCACGTGTACCATCCATCCAGCAAGAGACAATAATCTGACTTCAAAACATAAAACAAGAACGATCTTGTAATATTTCAGTTTTAAAAGCCAAGTTGATGCAGTTGACTCGGCCCCTTCAACCTTCGTGCTGAGCACAAACCCAAAGGCATTCGATTCGAATAAAACACAGATAATGATATAAACCCCAAATGTCATTCATTCAGCTCCCTCATCCTTGCCCCAAAACAAAGCATCATCAAGGAACATGAAGGTATATACCATTTCTTGTCCGATGCAAATGCATTTCACTTTTGTTCACAATTCTCAATTCTGAATCATGGGTCGGTGGTGTTTCTGTCCAGAAGAAGATTGTTATCAAGATATCCGTCAAATGCGAAAAATGCAGGAAAAAGGCGATGAAGGTTGCAGCCGCTGCACATGGTAAGCGTAGAAGAAGAAGATTAATCGAGATGAAAGAAGAACTAGAAAATATCGAAAACGAAAACAATCCAAAAGAACCCCACAATTGTTCTTACGAAAGTTTGGAAAGTACCCTTTGATCTTCAGGCGTGATGTCAGTGGCGATACAAGGGGATTCCAAGGACGAGCTCGTGGTGGTCGGAGATCAAGTCGATGCAGCCTGTCTGGTTGCTACATTGAGGAAGAAAGCATGTTATGCCATTTTGGAGTCTCTAGTGGAAGTGAAGGCTCCTCCTCCTCCTCCTCCAGCCGATGACAAGCCTAAAGGCGGCGGTGATACCAAGAAGGCCAAGGATGGAGGAGGAGATGGCAACAAGGCAAAGGAAAGTGAAGGTGGCAATAAGAATAATGCCGAGAAAGTGAATCAGCCGTCATGTTGTGCAGCTCGATGTCCGTCCAGTTACTATCATCAGCCACCGTACGAGGTGTATAACGTTGTATATGATTCCTACGGTCCGACCACCGGTTGCATAATCTTGTGAAAGGAAGATTGGTTTTGTTAGCACTGGTTATTGCTGTACGGGGTTCCTTCCCCCTTTCTGCCTGTAATGTTCATAGTTAGCATGAATTTCATGACAAGGTAAGAAAGAAAACGAGCAAATACGCACCAAAGCAACCGGCAATAATGAAGAAACACTTACCCGACAAAGGGTTTGGTTTTTGCCATCTTCTCAAATGGAGGAAGACATCATATCCGACTCATCCCCAACCATCAATCAAAATTAGAATAGAATCCCGATTCTGCAAGAGCCATATGCTCTCTTGCATTATAACTCAACTGAGCAAATGCCTCCCGGAATCCTCTCCCTGAATTCAAGGTTTCCAACTCTCAGAAGCTCAATAAGCGAAAGAATCACGCCAGAGTTTCTAATAACAGATACGTAATGCTTATACCCAACACCACAAGATTCTACAATACATCAGAAGCCGAAATCATGGTTTCATCATCACATTCACTCAAGATCCTCATCAAATGCTCTCAGCTATAGCCGCAAGCCCGTATACAGAACACATCCTCTATAATATCTTTCTCCATCGGATTGTGTCCCGAAAGAAGCTGGGCATATAGAGGAATGGCACCGGCCTCAGCAACAGGACTAGTAAACTCCATTAGCAGCTAGCATTTTCGCCCTAACAACATTTCTATCACGAAGAAATCCAGATAAAGCGATGGTATCACCCTGATTCAGCAAGCAATCGTCGTGCCCTTCTCTCTCTCCATGCCAAAGTCCCGACCTTTAGCGCGTAGACTATAAACCCTAACCCTCCTGAATGAACAACCACCCGTCTACACTCTCGTATCCATGTCGATGCACTAAAGACCTCCAACAAATACACACAAGCACAATTCTATCATCTTCCCACGAATTGGTCCAAAGCTTACATTTTAAGGAAAATTTAAGAATTTCTTTTTTTTTTTATTACAACCAATTTGATATGCTCAAAACTTTGTAACAAATAACTTGTGTGAATTTCCTTCGGAAGCCAAGATCGAGATTTGGAAACCGCGTTTAATCGCTTCGAGCATGAAATTTCGTCTGGCCCCGATTCGATTCGGGCGAGACCCGTCATGAAGTTAGCCGATTTGACGAATCGAGCTCCCGAGGATGTCCTGTGTCGGACAATCCCGATCCTCGGCGGTCTTCTCCGGGTTTCCGATGATCCGAATCGTTTACTTCGAGCTTCCGCTGCGTATTGCCTGGATGACATCGCACGTTGCGGCGGCGAAGCGGGTGGGAGATTGTTGCTTGAGGATAGTAGTAATGGATTCCGAATGGGTTGGATGGAATCGTATTGACTTGGCTAGATTTAGTTGTTTAGAGATTCTGGTTCGTGAGTCAATTTTGGGAGTATCCGTAGAATTAATATTATATCTTTAATATTATATTAATATATTACAGTTATCTTTAATATTTTTTTCAACTTTAAAACGAATATATGTTCTCGAGATCGGATTTGTAATACCAACAGATATGCGAATTCTATTTATAATACAATATGAATTATTTGTAATGGGCTTGTAACCACTCAAGGGCTTGGCCCAATCAAAATATTAATCTTTTGTTGGTTTCTGAGTTAAATTTATTTTATATATATCGGACTGCATTTGTACAAATAATATTCCATCGATTTTTTTAATTTTTATTAACCAATGTATTCTCTTTCCACGGGTTAATATTTTCGATATAAAAGAAAAATAAATATTAAATATTACAACAAGGTGACATATTGCTGACGAAAGAATTGACTTGCCAAATTGATAAAAAAAATAATTATATGAAATACTTTGAAGCGTATGAGTTTTATTTATATATTAGAAAATTACACTTTTGATTTTCAAAGAGTGACGGAGAATATAAAGGCCAAGCACCGGAACGCTTTGACAATGACTTTTTAACATTTTCACGACTCTTTTATAGATAGAGACGTTAGACGAATACCCGTATTTTTTTATTTTTTTTATGTAATGGATATGGTCTACCTCTTGTCCTAATGCTACATATTATTTTGTGTACATCAAATATTCCTATAATTAAAAAGTTCGGAGCAAACTTTCGATACAAAAATGTTAAAATTGTTAACAATGGGTACCATATTCCAAATTTTACGTATTATTTTCTTTTAATAAAGATTAAATTATTGGACCGTGCGACGTGCATAACGCTTCTCCTTTAATCCAAATATAATTAAAAAATATCTCTCGTAATAAATTCTTAATTTCTCTTGACCTAAAACGTATAATTCATAATTGACTATGAAAAGTATTTGTGTAGAATAGTAATTAATTATAGGATAAGCATAGATTTTTTTAAAACCATAAAATAATTTAAGCATGTCACCATATAAAAAAAAACATAGCTTGATACGCATAGAAATATTTAGAGCACACGGTTGGGTGGACCATGGAAGAGTCAGACCAAAATTCACAATTTTCCGCACAAAAATAAATAAATAAAGTGTTATAAATAGAGAATATTAAATAGGGAGACGCCAAAGAATAACGCGGAATGGTCAAACAGTGGGTTCCACGTGAATGGTCGGCAGAGGTTTTAAATACAATTGGAATTTCGTCTGCTACTATGTAACTTATAACGCACACACCCTGCTCCTCTGCGTTATTACTTAATTAATTTATTATTATTATTATTATTATTATTATTATTATTATTTTGTTTTTTCGCTATAAAATACGTTTCATAGTGAATTAATTTCCGTTTTATTACCAATTAGAAAGCGATCTAGTGGACCAAAATGTCCAAGAATTGTATCAAGTTGAATGCAAATGTGTCCGGTTTTCGGTTTTGAAAAAAGCTTTAATTTTCCGGAAATTTTGACTTCCTTTTGAAATAATTTTTTTTTTCAAATGTCAAAATCATCATCTCATCTCTTGAAAAAAAAAATTTGATTGTTTAATCAGTAACAGTGAAATCCATGAATCTAATATGACATAAAATATCAATGAATAAAGATCTCATTTTTAACATATCTGAATTGAATATGAGCAATGTAATCCCTGTCTACAAGTAGACGTATTCTTAGATTTCTCTAAAACAAAATATAAGATTGAGAGAATCGAATATATATTATATATACACTGTTATTCTTTTCATAGAGTATCTATTTCTAATTTTGCTCGTTTGTTTTCCAAAGATATTTCAAATTTATCAATGGAAAATTAAAAAGAAAAAAATATCAATACGTAAATTACGAGTGAGTTCGATTCTACTAGTGGAAATGAGATAGCGCAATTAATTATGTGACTAAAGTTTGATTTTGGATCTAGAGAAATCAGTGAATCTCCTTATTATCAAAAATTAAAAATTAGAGGGATTTTATTTTACGCAACAAAAAAAGGGCATGAAAAATAGTTAACAAGTGGACCTAGGGATGGATGTTTCAGATTTCGGTTCGGTATTCAAACGGTTCGGTTCGAAAACGGTATTTTCGATTTTAACAAAAGTGTACCAAACTAACACGGGTCGGTACTAAATTTCTGAACCGAAGTGCCTACCCCTAAGTGGACCTACAAGCTAAAGCAGTGTGGACCGATCCATGAGTTGCACGTTGTCGTTTGCTGTCATCTCTTTGTTTTTTTTCCGTCGATCTCATCGTAGAAAACATAAAAAAAAAGCCAATCTGCTGATGATAAGAACAATTTAAGACCAATTAAAAAACCAAACAAAAAGATGATACAAACAATTAGTATGACTATTTTACCCTTTTATCATCGCCGTGGAATTTTCTTTTTAAATTCAATTACTCAAACCGATTTTTTAAATTAAAATTTTACATGGATTCAATTTTAGATTAAATTTAAATTAATTTTGTACTTAGTTTTCTAAATTTTATTTATTCCATGTTTAATTTCAATTATTTTCTTGTTTGAATTGCTATATTATCTATGCAATAAATATAAAACATGATTTTTTTTTTAAAAAAAAAAAACTGTGCAGCCATTGTTTCTCTAAACATGGCAGTAAAAATAATTCGATCGTCCGTATACTTATTCCGACAACGTGAAGCAATAGCACGTATATGTGTTTCACGAACGCAGGAGACAGCCGACGTGAATTATGGGATCATCAATAAAATTAAATTGGAATAACCACAATCTAGCTCATGTCTATAGTTTGTATTCCATGCTGATATATTTTTATATTTTAATCCAATCGATTAATTTGGTTAAAATTTATATCTTCAAATATATTTATAAAAAAATTAATTTATTTCAATTCAATTTTAATTACAGTACCCAAACCAAATCCCTACCCTAATACCACATATATATATAAAAAAAAACTGAATACATTGCATTATTCCCAATAATAACATTATATTTTATGATGACATTGACACATGTTCAGACTCATTACTCGTCTTGCTTCTGAACATATAATAAATACCCACGGCTTGCTTGCTTTTTAATTTTGTTTTTAAACGCCACGTTTGTATTTTTTTTCTTTCTCCAAATAAAAGAAAATAATAATTATTTTTATTTATTTAAAAATACTACGTGTTGAATGACGTAAGGCTCATGAGTTTGACTTTGGTAAAACATGGTAAGCCCACGACATTCATTCAACCACTCCTATCTCCTCCGGTCTTTCGTTTATTCCCTCCACTGGTTTTACTTTGTCTTCAAGTCGTCAAATTGATAATATACTCACACGAAATTATAAAAAAAAACGAAGAAATTTAAATAAATAATATTATAAATTCAACTAGGTATCAGAAATTCTAGAACCGGTCTGAAATATACAGAAATAATTTAAATAATGACCATATTTAATTATGACTATCTAGATTTTCAATCTTATACCTTAAGAGATTAAATAAAAACAAACCAATTAAATACTTTTTTTTTGTAGAAACTGTGATTCGAATTTATCGGTCTCTAATAATATGATAATGCGCCAAAATATAATAATATCTGAAGTGGCAAAAATGTAAATATAAGGCGTCATGGGGTCATTTTGTCCGACAGGGCTCCAGATAAAAGCGGTGGGAATTATTATTAGGTGAAAAGGGGAGGTCATGTGGTAGCAAAGCACAGAGCTTTTGATTCTCTCTATCTTGAAGTTTGGATCAAACCACAGCTGCAAAAATAAAAAAGAGTGCCGAAGAATCTTTCTGCAAATTCTTGGTTTGTTGGCAACACCCATCGTCTTCGTTTCGATTATAAATCTTTGATTTTTTTTTGTTCTGTGGTGATTTGATTTCCATATGCATAACCTGTTCTTCTGGGTTCTTTTTGATTTCTCGTTCTTATGATCACTCGGTGTCCATAAATCTTTCCTCCTGGGTGTTTTCCAGTCTTCTCTGTTGTTTGTTTCTGTGCAAAAGCTCTCTCTCTCTCTCCTTTTTTGGGGTTTTTGTTGTTCATCAGCTCCATGTAACTTGTTTTGCTGAATGTTCCTCCTGTTTCGATTTTAGGGTTTGGTTCCAATTCTTGAGTAGCTGTTCTTGTTCTTGATAGAATCTTTAGTTCCATGAACCTGTTTTCTCTCTTGTTTTCCACGGAAGTGTTTGGTTGTGTTCTGTCTTTTTTCTTTTTCTGGGCGACAGCTCTCTGTTTCTTTGGTCGGTTTCTATGATTCATGAGCCGTTGATTCAACAAACGCTTGATTTATTGGCGATAATACCAAGAACTGTGAGCTACGGATAGGGTAAGAGCCGTCCTGTCTCAGAGGTTCCAAAACTTGGTGAAGCTTTGGGATCAAAACGAGGTTTCGGAATTCTGATATGGGCTTGTAGAATATAAGGAGTACAAGTACCTGATTGTTCATTCACGGAACTTTCTTCCAAGTCTCTGCTATTGTTCTTGTTGACTGTTGTGTATGCATTCTTACTAAGGTTTCGTCTTCCTTATGAGTTCCATTCCCTGTTGTTCTTATTTATCTCGATTACAGTTATATTACATTCTGGTAACCATATCTGGTTTTGTCTGCAGATAAAAATGGAGGCGACTCAGAAACATATAGTTAAAGATGGATCTGCCATATTGTACAACCAGTCTATGCAGGGTCCCAACTCATATTACCAGCATCCTTCCCAGCACGTGAACATTTCTGTTCAGACATTTGAACCGTACTCCACTCTCGAATCATCCTCGTCCGCCACTCAAGCTCGTTCTTGTCAGAACAACTCGTCTTCTACCACCAGTTTCTCCGCTAACAAGAGTCCCGAGCTGCACCGTTCCCCCGATGACCGTTCTGGCTCGCCGATAAGCGGGTCGTCAGTGACGAACAACGATGCCGATATCAGTTTCATGCTCAAGGAATTGGAAACTGCCATGCTTGGACCTGATTTAGACAGCTTCGGAACAGGGGACAACGATAGTGGGCTTTCGGGTGGACAAAACACGACTCCCTCAGCAATGTATAGATGTATGGAGATGATCTCGAGAGGAGATTTGAAAGGGTTGCTCTGTGAATGTGCAAAAGCAGTTGAAAACTACGATCAGACGATGGTCGATTGGTTGATTACGCAGTTACAGCAGATGGTGTCAGTGTCTGGCGAGCCAGTTCAGCGCTTGGGAGCCTACATGCTGGAAGGGCTCATTGCTAGGTTGGCATCCTCCGGAAGTTCAATCTATAAAGCTTTACAGTGCAAGGAGCCGACCGGTCCCGAGCTTCTATCGTATATGCACATTCTGTACGAAGCTTGCCCGTATTTCAAGTTTGGTTACGAGTCTGCGAATGGGGCTATTGCAGAAGCTGTGAAGAATGAAAGGTTTGTGCACATCATCGATTTTCAGATTTCTCAAGGAGCTCAGTGGATCAGCCTGATCCGGGCTCTCGGGGCACGACCGGGTGGACCACCAAAGATTCGCATAACGGGCATTGATGACTCGAGGTCAGCCTTTGCTCGGCAAGGAGGCCTTGAAATAGTCGGGCAGAGACTATCAAGGCTTGCAGAACTATGTCGGGTACCGTTTGAGTTCAACGGTGCTGCTTTATCTGGTCCCGAGGTTCAAATCGAGCATCTCGGAGTTAGACAGGGAGAAGCCATTGCTGTTAACTTCCCGTTAGTGCTTCATCACATGCCGGATGAAAGTGTAAGTGTCGAGAACCATAGGGATAGACTGTTGAGGCTGGTGAAGCGTTTGTCTCCGAGAGTGGTGACCCTTGTCGAGCAAGAAGCGAATACAAACACCGCCCCGTTTTTTCCTCGTTTCGTCGAGACAATGAACCATTACCTGGCCGTGTTCGAGTCTATCGATGTGAAACTGCCGAGAGACCACAAGGAGCGGATAAACGTGGAGCAGCACTGCCTGGCTCGGGAAATCGTGAACCTAGTAGCGTGCGAAGGGATCGAGAGGGAAGAAAGGCACGAGCTTCTGGGAAAGTGGAGGTCGAGGTTTCACATGGCGGGTTTTAAGCCGTACCCGCTGAGCTCTTTCGTGAACGCGACGATCAAGGCGCTGATGGAGAGCTACTCGGACAAGTACACGCTCGAGGAAAGAGATGAAGCCCTCTATCTCGGATGGAAGAATCTGCCGCTCATCACTTCATGCGCGTGGAGGTAAAAGCACCATCTTTCCATAGTTTAGATGCAGATTGACGACGTTGTAACTGTCCTTGCCTTATCTTGTCTTGAGCCGAAACACACTGTGTTAATGTTGTATTTCTTTTAACTGTCATGAGCCAAAAATACACACTGTCGAATGTTGTAGTAAAATTATTAATGACCCGATAATTTACTTGAATTTGTTGGCGTAAACGATATAATTTTCGTGTTTATCCATGAATATTTTTATGCGTTTATCATATACATATATATATATATATATATATATATGTTGTATATTTATAAGATGCGTTTTCAGACGTCGTTTTAAATGTTTTATCACAATTGTTGAACTCGTTAATACGATTACGACCTCGATATTCATATTTATAATATATAATCTCTTTGATTGATTTATTAGATTCTATATCAGGCGTTAAATTTTCAAATTTGATTTCAACCGTAGATTTCATAGATTCGATTTTAATTGGGATATACGACAGATCTGTTCTCAACAGTTGATGTCCAAAATTCAACCCTAACTAAAACCACTTACTTTCAGACATATTTGATAACGATGGTTAATTTTCAAGATTCGATCTCAACCGTTGACTTTTACTATTGGATTTCATCTGTAAATTTCTATGGTTTGTTTAGCAAACGGTCGATTTCTTATGCCTGATTTCAACCACCCAATTACCAGATTCGATTTCAACCATTGAGTAGTAAATTGTAGGTAATTCGTATATAGATTTGGGATATCTAATAATATAGTATAAGTTTTTGTCAATTTAATTGTGTAGAAAAAGATCAAAATGTCACTTAAAAAATATTAAAAAAAACGGATCTCAATGTATCACAACCGTCCATTTCTCAAAAGAACAAAACCGTTGATTTATTAGATCTAATCTCAACAAATGATCGTGTCATTACACGACCTCGTCAGACCGACGATTAACCAAGGAAGTACTTGAAAGACTTGAGAACCCTCTTGCCGGTGGCGCCGTCAACCACGGTGGCCAAATAGAACTTGCTCTTGCCGGCGGCGCCGTTCTTGGCTTGGACGACCAGTCTGTATCGGATGCCGGACACGACCTGCGTCTGTCCCTCGTCGACGCGCTCGTACGTCAGATCCGACTTCGACTGCTTGTTGTGTTCGGACACTGCGTATTTCGCGATCTCCACCACCTTGGGATCGTTCACGTCCTTGATCGGTTGCCATCCCCCCAGGAGCGAACCTCCCGCCACCAGAGGGAGGACGATCAGACAGAGCACGATCATTGACCTCGTCAATTCCATCTTTGAATTTGGATTGTTTTTTTTTCTGGTTCTTGGGTCTGGTCGGAAAACGGTATTTATAGGTGGAGATTTGGGGATCGGAACGTGTTCGCAAGTGGGGGCAGAGGTATCGAGAAAAATGACAGAGAGACCCTTCCCAATTCCCACTCACGCGCCGAAGATTCCCGTGTGCGGCGGAAAGCATGACCGTTAGATTGACGAAGTGGACCTCCCTCGACTCAGTAGGGAAAAAACTAAATTGATTTTTATATTAATTTCTTTTATTTTTATTATAGTGAAATTATAAAAGGAAAAGTTATAAAAATTTTAGATTTAGTCAAAATTTCAAATATCTTTAAATAGAATTAATGAAATATTCCAAATATTTTGATAAGACCAACGTTTTAGGTAGAAAAATTGTGTGAAGAGAGATTCTGTGGCAGATATGAATTAATAAGTATAATTTATGGTAAAATTATAAATTAAAAATATTTGAAATATTTTATAAAATAGTTCTTCGTGAAAAAAATATTATCATGATGTGACTCTGGTAGATATACATTGACAAATATTATTTATAGTAATTCTTTTTTTATAAAGATATTTAATTATAGTAAGTCTGTTAGTATGTTATGGTAATTTATCAAATGAAATGTATGGGAATCTTATTTTTAAAAATCAAGACAACATTTTTAAATTCAATTAAGGAAAATATTTAAAAAAACTTGGATATGTTAGCTTTTTTAGATATGAAATTTCTGTTAAAGGATATTAAGTGTTATCATATAGTAATTTTGTAACTATATATTGTAAAGTTATAAATATAAAACAATTATATGTTTTATAAAATATGTACAAAAAATTTATATATAACTATAAGAATATTTGAATTAAATTTATATTTTTGAAACGATTATTTCTATTGAAAGATAATTGTAATTTAAAAAAAGGTTATGCTTTGATCTCACTGTTTAAAGTTTCAACTGTTAAATCACAAAAAGGCTTCTCTCTCTCTCCTCTATTTGACGAATTACAGTATACATTAAAGATAAAGACCAATCTGCCCCTATAACCCCTCTGATTAAGTCAGAGTCTTTCTTCCACGACTTTAAAGCCTTTTCCATAGTCAACGTGCACATGTAAAAGAAGCTTCCAAACAACACAACACACGATTATGGAGAATTCATCAAAGATTATTTATGAAACGTTTTGACAACATTAATCATGATCAGGACATCTGAAATTGTTGAGTTTGTGATGAATATAGAAGGGTATATGTGTATTTTTACACATTGTAATTAGGATTAATTACTTGTATAAATTTCTTACTGTTCATTCAGTACACCATTTTCAAATAAATTTTTGGTTTTCACAAGATCTTTTAATCGGGTTAATTTAGTTTTTATTTTTTAAAAGAAATAACCTTCCAATTTTTATTCCGAATTTGAAACGATGATATATGAAATTCCACCCATGTAATAAAATCATTAGCCTATAATCATTTTCCATAAGCACCCTTAATTTTCGTTTTTAAATAACGAACTCAGTCCTACATTTAAAAATTGGCCACTTTTCACCCATTAAGGTTAACGATATAAAAATTATAGTCGCAACCATGATCGCCCTTAACGTGGTTTTTGCGTTTCGATATTTTTTTTTTCCGCGTTTCGATTTTTTAGGTCAACATCATATAATTTTTTTTATATCTTGAATTGATGAATGAAAATCGCACTAAAAACAAGAGAGATACGATTATTAAAAAAAAAAATTGACTTTAAAATGTGAAAAAAATGCTTGACCTTGGCTTGAAGTTCTTTTTTTTTAAAGATACACAATATCATTGCAAAATCATATTATAACTCAAAAATATATAACTATTTTATGAAAAACAAAATCGTAAATAGTATAATTATATGTAATATGGGAGTCGATCCATTGCAATATAACACCAAATCTTACGCTCTTTTCTTCTCGATGTTCACATTTATCGATGGATAAAGAAATATACACAAATGGGAAAAACCAAAGAAAGTTACAATATTATATATAAGAAAACAGCATGGAACATGCATCCAAATTGTCTTCAATGGCTTTGTGGATTAGAGACATCGTCGGCAGGAGCCGTCTCGGCTGTTCGATCTGGTCCGTGTTCCAACCAACTCGGCTCGAACAATCTCAGTTCTGTATTTCCTGCCTCCAAATCAATCTGATCCAAATAAAAAACAATAAACAAAAAAAGATTAATTATTATATTAACGTTGATGATTTTGTCTCAAACAATTTATAAATATATATAACTTTCTCAAAAATATAAGAAAAAAATAAATTAATCGACCGTCATACGTCAGTGGAAAGCCCATCTCCTTTGTATTCAGGCGGCATCCCAGTTCTCTCCCTCGCATTCGCCTCTTTCCGAGCTGCGATCTCTCGTCTTGTTTGTTCCAGATGCGTCTGGTAGAACTGGATCTGCCACCTCAGCATACGGACTATTCCGAAGCCGCCCATGACGGGATCTTCCGCCCGCGCACGGCCCTCGGCGAGCAGGGAGTCGGCCAATGCCCTCTTCAGCTCGGGCGCCCCAACCTCGCCCATCATCCTCATTATCGTGCTTGTACCGAATAGCTTCCGAGCCTTTTGGTAGTCCGCAAAGCTGCATCTCAGACACAAAACCAATCGAAAATAAAAATAACGTTTTTTGAGATATTATAAATAAAAAAAAAAAGAATTTATTGTGTATTTTAATTACCAATGAGGGGGAAAAAACGGTGCGTATGGGCACGTGACGTCGCACCGTCTTCTTTGCTGTCTGCAAACCGCACAGTTCAAGCGAACGACTGTGTTCTGTTGGTTCTCCATGACAGTTTTAGGCTGTTGAAAAATGAAGTAAATAAATTTGTTGAAATGAAAAATATTTATTTCGTATAATACGACAAGAACTCAGAAAATATGTTTATCTATGTTTGGTTTTCACAAGGGATATATATATATATAGTTGCGGTGATGTATAGAAAGATATAAGCATTTGAATTTGATTACAACTATATGGTAAATAAGAGCTGGCGTTCAATTAATTTGGTACTATCAGAAACACACAAATATGGAAAAAAATCTCATACAAATTTGGAATTTCATAAATATTGTGGGCATAAGAAATTCATTATCTGGCAAATTCTTATAGTATATATATAAATTGAAAACCATATTTTACTTAACAAATAACAAAATTGTCGAATTCAAATGCATTCCAAAATATTTAAATGCGCATACACGCATATATATATATATATATAAACCATATAAGAATGTAGATATAAACTGCTTACGCGTATGTTAAATTTAATTCCGATTCTGATCGGTTGATTTAACATCCAACCCTTTCCATTTAGTGTCTCAGGAAACATTAGATTTCCAATTCCTGTTACAATTGAATGTAACCGTCTCAATATATCATCCTGAAGATTAAAAAGAAAAAAATGAAAAATCATTAGACAATAGCTTATAAGATTCAATTATTAGCGGATTGTATTTCGGATTTTAAATTCTTTCAAATATGGCACCAAATAACAAATTTAAAATAGAAGTTATAAAAAATTGCATCATGGTTATACATACACAAGTTATAGAACGTTAATAAAATATAAAACAACGCCAAATATAGAACGTTAATTAAAATATAAGTTGACCATTTCTTTTACAAATTCTATGTAAAATTAATAAGTAAATAGTAAATTGAACGAAATTACGAAACCTTCCCGTTGGCGCAACAGTTTTTTTTACATGCACTGCAAATTGCAATCGCCAGGACGGTGAGAGCCGCCAATATCCAAATTATTTTTCATTAAATAATAGTAAAATCTATTTATATATATATATATAATAATTAATCAAAACATTAATATTATGTCAACACTTCTCTTGCTTAGAATTATGAAATGCATAAAAATCTTAAGTTCGAGGTGAAAAATGCCTTTTGCTTAGTCAACATACGTGTTTCGATCGAAATTAGTATATAATAATAATAATAATAATAATAATAATAATAATAATAATAACAATAATAATAATAATAATAATAATAATAATAATAATCATAATAATAATAATACAACAGAAAATCGCATGCCATTACAAAAAAAAAAACATATGTGGTTGACCAAAATTAATCCGAAATATTCAGGAAAAAAAAATATTGTTGTTCAATGATAATGGAGTGTTCGATGATGAGGGAGACAATTTGTAAATAGTTTCAAAAAATATGATACAATACCTGAATTTTTCGTGACAGATTTACGAATAATAACCCTGCAAAAATTATTAACCACGATAAATTATAAAAAATATATATATTTTATAAAATGAATATCATTGTCTATTACACTATCACAATAAAATTGTAGAATACACTTACATTGTAATATATCTCTTATCTGCTTCCCCGTCATCTTCGCCTTTGCCGCACTATTTTTCTGTTTTAGATGATATTTCTTTTACTATCCATTCTATATATCTTTTACGGCGTCGCACCGAACTAATACTCTTATTTTTAGTGGAGATGTATCTTCTTACTTTTTATTATATTTTCCGAGTCGGTGCGCGGATCTTATTTATAGCGCAAAATATATTTTTTTTTATTAAAAATCTATTATTTAATTTTTAAATATAAAATTAATTAAAATCAGCTTATTTAATCAAAATAGTAATTGAACTTATACATTTTTATATTTCAAATAAAATTATACATAATATCATTGACGTTACATTAACAACGTATTTATTTTGACGGAAATCCACAATTATTTCCAAATTTGTTAATATTTGCAATTTAAATTTCACCTCTAAAAATATATTAGATTAAAAATTGATTTACAATATTATGAGAGAAATGCTCAATTATTTTATTTAAGTTTTATAAAATTTTCAATTCGTATCTATACTATAAATTAGATTATAATATTTATACTATAAAGATGTGTATTGTATCGAGATAAATTATATAATTTTGAAATTGGAGATAATTTTAGTTAGTAGACCAAGTTTAAGTACCCATGAAATCCAATTTTTATTTGTTTCTATAAGTATTCAATATTAATTTAAATTATTATAGAATAAATGTTTATAACGTTAAATGAGATAGAATTGTATTCTTTTCATATTTGCAAGTTTTCTATAATTAGTTTTAAATTTTAATTTTTTCATTATTAATTTTTTCTATTTTTAAAATAATTTAACATAATCAATTGTTGATTATATGTCTTACTAAATAATTATACCTTTTAAAGTTCATCTAATCTTTATCTTCTTTACTGAAGAGGTAATATATATATAATTCTAACATATCATACAAGTATAAATTGAATTATTAAAACAAAATGTTTTGAATTTGTACTACTTATATAGAAAAAAATCTAGGCAAATTAGGTATATATATATATATATATATATATAATATCCAAAACCATAAATAGTTAAATTAACTTTATTATCTTTAAAAATTACACATTAAAAACTTTGAGATTTTTGTAAACATATTTTCCTTTTCAATCCATTCAATACATCATCAATGATATATTTTAGGACATAACAAATAAAATAACCATTCAAAGATTTCATCCATTAGTCTTATATTCCTTATTTAATTAATTTTTATATTATATATATATGTGTGTGTGTATATTAATAGAAAGCCCCCATTTACGATATTTAGATTTTTTAATGCAGAATCCAATTTAATAGTGATTTAGTAAACTAATTGAGATATTATACTCTTTTTGGACAGGATAATACTTTTTTTTATTCCTTTTATGCCTTAATCAACTAATTCTTCTAATTTAGGACATAAAAACAGAACTTATCAAATACCACATTTTTTTTTGTTTTTATGAGAATATCTACTTTGTAAAATGATTGGTGTACAAATTTTATTTGAAACACAAAAAAAATCTACTACCACCTCAGTAAAATTATAGGATTATAACTAGTTTGGTAAACTAAAATTATGATCTAAAGTAAAAATTTATATATACTAGAAGAAATATCGCAAATTCAAAGAAAGAGAAAAAAAAATGCTATGCATTCTACAAAATATAAAAATTTACTCGATAATATGTTAATATCCTTGGGATGATGTAAATAACTATTTACAACAATTAATGAAGTATATCTACATCGCTTTTATAAAAAGATTATGTTATTAAAAGTCCTAAGCAATTGTAATTATCAAAGAAATTTTTACACTTAATTTCATCATAAAAAAATCGTAAACTGTACATAAAAATCATTAATCTAATCTTGTATAAAAAATTACATTATAAAATCATCATAAAAATATTATTCTATGTTTATAAATAAAAAACTATAATCCTGTTTATTTTTATTTGTAAATTTAGTCCGAACCATACGGAACCAATTGATTGAGTTTCGCTTTGGTTTTACATTTTTTGTTGTTAAAATTGAATGGTATAAAATATATAGGACCGACCAGTTTTGGTTTCGTAGAGTTCCTTCCATAAAAATCCAATTTAAATTTCGGTTTTCTTTTTGGATTAACCACGAGATATCTTAAACGGAGTTCAATTATGTACCGACGCTTTTAAACCTTATATATTTAGACTAATTTTCATTCGTCTTGATATCCAACACGGTGTTAAAGGGAAAGAAGTCACTAGAACAGAATTGGCTATGTTATAAATAGATTTTATTTATTTGATTGTGTTTAATGAATTTTAGAAAAACTAATTGAAGTAAACTATATGTATCAACATAATACAAATCAAATATACATGTACAAAGCATTTAAACGAGAAGAATACGTCCATTAAGTGCTAGCAGATTCATGCTAATTACCAAAGAAAATTAGACATTATATAAGTGAAAATATTTCTGTCGCGTAATGAACCAAACCCGACTATATATATTCCATTTCAAATGTAGTAAGGTGTGTCATTTATTCGGTCCATTTCTAACAAATATATGCCACCAAATTCCTTATAATAAGATTATCTGCAAAAGATTCTATTTAGAGATGTGTTAGAAGAACATGCAACGAGCGGTACAGAATGCATTAAATTACGGTTTAATTTTACACAAATCCCTTAAAACCCATCTCTAATTGTGGAACCTCCGAATCAGAAGCCTCGCAAATTTCTGTTGCTGAGAATAAAAATGGCGTTTTTAGAGGCAGAGAGATTCTAGGAAATTAATGATGCTAATTAATTAAGAAACGACTCCAAAAACGCCATTTGATCTTTGGGTTTGATTCATCGTACGTACTTTGCAAATATTGTTACAGTTCTTGTTCTTAATCGTTTACCAGAAAAAAGAGAAAGACATGAAGTCTTATAAGGGAAACGTGAAGAAGAAAGGAACGAATTCTGGGTTAGTCGCCGTGGCGATCGACAACGACAAAGGAAGCCAGCATGCACTCAAGTGGACTGCCGATAATCTTGTCTCCAAAGGACAGACTATCATTCTCATCCATGTTGTTCTCAAATCTTCTGTCTCGGGTTTGTTTCTCTTTCTAAACAATCATTCACTTTCTTGCCCTAATGGCGATTTTTATGCTTTGTTACGATATAACCTACTAGTTTTCTATCCAAACTTGATAATTCAACCGGTGAAACGGAGTGTAAAGTGTTCGTCCCGCCCTAAATTCGAATCTCAAGTTTGGGAAAGGGATGCATATTCCAAATCACATGGCTGATCCCGTTCTTTGGCCCTTGATTCAGGATACTCGGTTACAAAAAAAAAAACCTAGTTCTTTTCTTTTGCTTTTGGCTATTGGTTTTTTTTGTGTTTGCACTAGAGTTTATAAGTGCCTGAATGATGATATTCTTAAATTCCGGCTTTCGGGTTCGACTACAACTGTCCAAAACATTTGGTTTTAAGCTGATTGAAAATGAAAATGTTAGTTTGGATGTAACATTAACACGAAACCGTATTGCAAAGAGATTATTTGTACACAAATTTCTCGAGTATGATATATATATGTGGGTCTCGAACAACTTTTAATCGATTTCAGCTTTCAATGAGTCGAACGAAAAGGATATTAGCTTCCTAATTTGGAAGAATCTCGATACAAAACATGATGTCTGAAATGTAGATTCTAAGGAATAATTCGTAGCGATATGAAACAGGCGAAAGTAATACGGAAAAACAGCGAATCGAGAAGCAGACCAAAGATCTGTTCATGACTTTCCGCTGCTACTGCACTCGCAAAGAGGTAGATAAATCTCTTGTTCGGTTTTCTCTGCAACACATTACATCAAAACACAACTCTGAAACCGTTGTTTTTATATATTTTTCCATATCTCGAAAGATACATTGTCTAGATGTCACGCTAGAAGACGACAATGTCGTGAAAGCGTTAACCGAATACACTTCCTTTGCCGTGATCGAGACTTTGGTTCTTGGTGCAACTTCAAGGCATGGATTCATGAGGTTTATTCTCCTTTCTTGTTCATCGAAACTCGAATGTGCCCTCTTTGCGTTTTTTCTTCTTTTTATATGTTTCTTATCTTTTGGGCAGAAAATTCAAGATGTCTGATACTCCGAGCAGTGTGTCGAAAGGGGCACCAGATTTCTGCACAGTTTACGTCATCTCAAAAGGGAAGGTGTCGTCCCTGAGGCACGCCTCACGTTTAGCGCCATATGCGTCGCCAATCATGACAGAAGTCGAGAACCAATCCGCGATTTCTTCCTACGAAAAATTCAAGAACAGCATGAGCTTCAAAGGTAAAAAGAAGCAAAAAAGTTATCTCCGACACTGAATCTAATTCGATTTCGTGAGATTCTAAATCTATCTATCAACTGATTTTTCTATCGCTTTCCAGCAGATCGAGCCCTGATGAAGCCTTCACCTACTAGCTCGGTTGAAGATTACGCAAAGTATGCTATTGATCTGATACCATTTTTTCGTGGTCGATGAAAAGTTTTCAAAGAGTTTACTTGTTTTTGTGGTGATATATATATTTACAGGTCGCCTTTCGCGAGGAGATCGAACTTTGTAAACTCGTTTTACGATTTTTCGGACTCGGAAGCCGACATATCCTTTGTGAGTTCAGGTAGGCCAAGCATGAGCAGTAGACCAAGTACAAGCACTACGGGAAGAACTGATATGTCTTTCATGAGCTCGGGAAGGCCGAGCACAAGCACTACCGGAAGTTCATTCATCTGTGAGTTTCCTGAATCGGGTCTCACCCCGAGATTGTCGACGAACTCTGGACAAAGCATTGGCTCTCTACGTCTCGGGATCAGGTTTAACAACAACGGCCTCCCCCATGATTTTTCGTTCGTCTCTCAAGACAGTGCTCGCACATCATGCTCACAAAGTTTGGTAAGACAACTTTCGATATGGATATGTGCTATAACATTTTATAGATTCGTTGCAAGAAGAGAAAAGATCGATCCGATCGATATCATTCTCAATATATATATATATATATATATATGCAGGAAGAGGTTGAAGTTGAGATGAGGAGATTGAAACAGGAGCTGAAGCATACTATCGATATGTACGGAACGGCTTGCAGAGAAGCACTCGCAGCAAAACAAGAGGTAAAAAAACAAAACCCGAAACCCGAAATATGAATCTCTCTTCCTAAAATTCGTTCTGATAAAACAAAATCGAAATCTTAACAAAGGCAAAGCAGCTTCAACGTCAGAAAACCGAAGAGGAAGGAAAGTTTCAAGATGAGCAAATATCGGAGAAAGCTACAAAGTCATTAATGGAGAAAGAGAGAGCAAACAAGGTGGCGGCAGAGGCTACTCAGACGGCTAACAGAATCGTAGAGCTCGAGACGCAAAGAAGAACGATCGAACATTCCAATTCTTTAGAAGATTCTATGATGGTTATGAGTTCTTTCTCCAGTACCGATGCAAGATATCGAAGGTATACGATCGGTGAGATCGAAGTAGCTACAGATTCATTCGAGAAATCCAACAAGATCGGCGAAGGAGGATACGGTCCAGTTTTCAAGGGCTTTATAGATCATACGGCGGTTGCTGTCAAAGTTTTGCGCCCGGATGCAGCTCAAGGAAGATCTCAGTTTCAAAGAGAGGTACAAAAACATCGAATAATTCATACATGGAAAAGGAAACTGATTAAATGATTTCAAGTAATTAATGAGCAGAATCAATGTTGCAGGTCGAAGTTCTTAGCTGCATTCGACATCCGAACATGGTTCTACTCATCGGAGCATGTCCTGAGTACGGAGTGCTTGTATACGAGTATATGGCGAAAGGAAGTTTAGCTGATCGACTCTATCGACATTCTAACACGCCAGCGCTCTCATGGCAGCTCAGGTTCAGAATTGCGGCCGAAGTTGCGACGGGTCTGCTCTTCCTCCACCAGACGAAACCTGAGCCGATAGTTCACCGTGACCTGAAACCAGGAAACATTTTGCTTGACCAGAACTACGTCAGCAAAATCGGCGACGTTGGATTGGCACGGCTAGTTCCTGCAGTGGCCGAGAATGTCACACAGTGTCATGTCACATCAACTGCCGGCACTTTCTTCTACATCGACCCAGAGTATCAGCAAACAGGAATGCTCGGTGTGAAATCGGATGTTTACTCCTTCGGGATCTTGCTTCTCGAGCTTCTGACAGCGAAAAGACCGACTGGTTTGGCCTATAACGTCGAGCAAGCGATCGAGCAAGGCGTGTTTAAGGAGATGCTAGACCCTGTAGTGCCTGATTGGCCGGTAGAAGAAGCCTTATCTCTGGCCAAACTCGCGCTCCATTGTGCAGAACTGAGACGAAAAGACCGACCAGATCTCGGAAATGTCGTCTTGCCGGAACTCAACAGACTCAGAGCTATTGCCGACGAGAGTATGGATAACTTGATGTTCGGCCACAGAAGCAGAGGCCCCTCCCCCAGTCCGAGCCAAGTTTTCGCGCAAGCAACGGTGATTAATGAACTCATTTTCCAATGATTACAATTTAAAATTTGGATTAACTCAAATGAATTATCGATTTTTTTCGTTTATGTAACAGGAATTTGAAATGTCTTGATGCAGGATGTGAATTCAGAGAGCTCGAAGACGATGTCAAGCACTTCATCTGACATTGAAATATGCTCAGGTTGAAGAAATTCTTAAATATAATCGCATATAATTTCACTCATAAATATTATTATAGATGGGATTTACTAAATATACTAATTGATCAAATTAGATTTCATGAGTTAACCCAAACCATATAACCAAATTAGTCAAATATGAACTCAGTAAGCTTGAAGACGATGTCAAACACTTCATTCGACATCTTTTTTTTCCTCAGACCAAACTGAAGAGGGCTAAAGAAGAGGGTTCTGACAGGTTTCTTGTCAGACAAGAAAAGAACTCTGAATAAACCTACTTTGGGTCCCAAGCAACTTAGAACAGACAGTCAGATTCCGAATGAGATTAAATATCCACTTTTTTTATGTATACTTTTTTTTGTTAACTTGGAAGTTTATCGAAAGTTCGGCTCAATTAAATCTCTTAAAACTCGGAGGCAATTTGTGTATCGGAATTAAATTGTACACATATTCTCTAACGGTCACTCGAACATGGGACCTCGAAGAAAGACACCACTACCCTTCTCAACTAAATACCACTCGGCCAACTCATATTGGATTGTTATTTATATTATTAAGTTGTATATACGAGTGTGATTGAGTTTGTATATAAATATTATGGGTGTGATTGTGTAAATTTTATTTTTTTTATTTTAAAAAAAAATATTAGAAAATTAGATTTTTTTTACAATTGGACTTCACTTTTATAATATTTTAAATTTCTACCTTGAACAGTAAATAGTCTCATATAATTATATTCTACTCAAATCTCTTATAGGATATCATAATATTTCTTAACAATAATGATTACCAAGAACTTTTATTATATATTAAATAAAAAATAAAAAATAAAAAAAATCTAACGTAAAATAAATATTATGTGATATATTTACTTATTCATATTAGATTTTTTTATGCAATATATAGTAAAATATCCTTTATAATAATTATTGATAACTATTATAGAAGTGTTAAATATAAAAATCTAAATATTCCCAGATAATCATGAACTATTACGGAAATATTAAATAAAAATTACAAGTATTCATTCATTTCTAAGTTGTACAGATTTTATTCTTTTAAGAACCATCATATGGCAGCGCCTATAAATAGAGAATAGAATGAGACATTATTTTCACAAAATATAAAAAATATTGATTCTTAATAGTTTATAAAAAATTGTATTTTTTGACAAGACTCTTTTTTTTTACAGATAACATATATATTTTATTATCTATTTCTTCAAGATTATAAGAGCAATTGGAGATAAGTTTGGGTAGGACAGTAATATATTGAAAAATCATTTTTATGTCATGTGATTTTCACATTTTTGTTGATTTTTCGATATATTACTGATCCTACTCAAAATTTTATTTTCCATTTAAAAATTTGGAAGTTATTCTGTAAATGGATTTAGGAGGGGCAATAACTTATCAAAAAAATCGATATTGAAGAAATCGATCTCTTCTTCATTTCACTTTTTTTTTTTGGTAAATTATTGAGCCCACCAAAATCCGCATTTACATTGTTGTGAAGGTAAGAATTCAGACCATCTTTTAATATTCTTGATTCTCTAATTTCAGAAACTAGGATTTATATGAATCGAGTTCAAATAAAATATGCATATAATATTTTCATGTAAAAGCATTTACAACATTTTCCCAATATTCATGCACGAGCCATGAATTTTTTTTTGATATCGGAGGACCCCTAACTGCTAGCCTTCGGGCGCGCTGACTAGGTAAACCTCCGGTCCGAGAGCAGCCTTTGTATATGGATCATATAATCCAGAAATTACCTCACTCTCCACCAATCAGGAATCGAACACTTAACCTCAAGGTAGAGTTACCTCGTACCCCAAGCTTGACCACTCGTTCACGATCTGTTGGGTACGAGCCATGAATTCTGTTGATGCTGCTGTACATAATTCACGTTACATATGTTTATTGTATTGCAAGACAAGAAGGTAGGAAATGCAATGGGAAGAAAAAATCAGACAATTTTGTAGATACTTTTTCAAAATACAGAAATGTGAAACGAATTTTGTTTACATTTTTTTTAAAACATCACTTCGTTACTCGTCGATTTGACTCGGAAGGCTCGCTTTAAAACGAGTCTTAAAAGTACCGTTTCACCTCGTTTAAAAAAAGTCTATAAAAAATCAACTCGCGCATTCGATTCATTTTGATACCTAATTATAGATATATGATATTGCATGTTTATTTGTAATTGAAAATGTTTAAATTATTTAAATAGGTATAAACTAATCCTATCAAAGCTTTATTCTCCATTTAAAATTCGTACTCACAGTTCAGTGTATTTAGGAGAGGTAATAACTTAAAAAAACGAAATTAAATATATATATATATATATATATATATGCATATGCGCAAGTAATATTAAATGCAAAAGAATGCCATGAAAATCCACAAAGAAGAAAGAAAAAAAAATCATATTAGTCAAAAGTCAAAACTGATTTATTTGTTGCAATAAAAAGTCAAAAGTTAGTTATTTGTTGCAATAAATATAACACTTATCAAATTGTATAAACGTAGATTAATAATATATTATAATGAGATGAGAGGAAAAATGAGTCATACTAATTAAATTGAATCAAATTATATACATATATATCGATTATGATATAATTTCTACGTTATATATATATATATATATAATATTTTTATTATAATATTTATCCCAAAAAAATCTAAAACAAATAAAATACCAATATGGAAATTGTAGTATTATGTTATCTCTTTCATATTCTCTAATACATTGTATTACAAATAACATAAAAATTTTCAAATTGAAAAGAAAAATAAAAATGGTTAAAAAAATAATATTAAAGGTAAAAGGTTATGAATGGAAAACTTCAAAGAAGAAAGAAAAGCCTGATTAGTCAACAAATATCAGGAAACGGTAAAAGATAAACATATAAGGTAAAATGAAGTATGTCAAAAAAAGAAAAGAAAGATATGTATGTATGTATGTATGTATGTATGTATGTATGTATGTATGTATGTATGTATGTATGTATGTATGTATGTATGTATGTATGTATGTATGTATGTATGTATGTATGTATGTATGTATGTATGTATGTATGTATGTATGTATGTATGTATGTATGTATGTATGTATGTATGTATGTATGTATGTATGTATGTATGTATGTATGTATGCATGCATGCATATATAGTTCCATCATATGAATTTGTGAGCCGTGTTAAGTCATCTAAATTCAAATTAAGACACCAAGCATTCAGAATCTGTTTCTCCATTTTAGTTAAGTCTACCAAAATTAGCCCTTCTTCTTTTCTTCTCGTTCTTAATCTTTCCTCGCTCACATTAATGTATGTATGTATGTATGTATGTATGTATGTATGTATGCATGCATGCATATATAGTTCCATCATATGAATTTGTGAGCCGTGTTAAGTCATCTAAATTCAAATTAAGACACCAAGCATTCAGAATCTGTTTCTCCATTTTAGTTAAGTCTACCAAAATTAGCCCTTCTTCTTTTCTTCTCGTTCTTAATCTTTCCTCGCTCACATTAATTTTGGACTAATCACGTAGAGGTTGCTCACAAGCAACATGCCCTTCTCCAATGGCGGTTTCATCGACTGAAAAGTGACTTGGTGACACTTACGTGCGTTATTTTCGTGGTCACGCTTAGTTTAATATATAATCCCAAGAAAGCATATTATATATCTCTAAATCAAATCAATTACGCAACATAGTATTTCCGGCAACTGAAATCAGTATATATGAATCGTTCACGAGATGAACACATTCATAGATAACCATATAAAGCAAGCGTTATTCGATTTCAAGAGACAATGTGCTCCTTCGGTTACCTTAAAGTTCATGTTTTAGTTTATGTTCTGCTCATTATTTCCATCAAATCCGATGAACACATCGAAAGTGGCCCGACCCGTTGGGCGATTTTAATCGCTGGATCGTCCGGTTACGATAATTACAGACACCAGGTTTATATACTGACCCTTTTTCTTTCGTTTGCATATCCTCTTGTGAATGTTCATATATAGATCGTAATTAACTCGAGATACGTCGCGTTTTTTCAGGCCGATGTTTGCCATGCTTATCAGATTCTGAAAAAAGGCGGTCTAAAAGACGAAAACATCGTTGTGTTTATGTACGACGACATCGCTTACGCACCCGAAAATCCGAGGCCTGGAGTCGTCATCAATAAACCAGACGGGAACGATGTTTATCATGGAGTTCCTAAGGTATATCTCATACATAATCCATATATACATATATATATATATGTATATATATGTAGCTCTTTATCATATGAAAATACATTGTGACAAGATCATATTCCATGCTTTTGTACGTGCATATAGGATTATACAGGCGATGCCGTGAATACGAACAACTTGTTCAATGTTATACTTGGAAATAGAAGTGGGGTCACTGGAGGAAGCGGCAAGGTCGTGGACAGTAGCCCGGATGATAACATCTTCATCTACTATGCCGATCATGGAGCTCCCGGGTTATTAGGTTCATATGATAAATAAATAAAATTTTCTCATTATACATCATATATAAGTATATATATAAATGAGCCTAATTATACCGTGTTCTTCAGGGATGCCACAGGAAGAAACCCTAGTCGCTAGAGATTTGATAGATGTGTTGGAGAAGAAGCATAAACTCAAAGGCTATACAAACATGGTAATATATATATATATATATATATATATATATATATATACAGCTATATATATATACACACACACATTGGTATTTAATTATCATCTCTAGTTTTTTTTGGTATGCGTTCTTGAAAAAAAGGTGGTGAATAATTTTGAGACAGGTGATATATGTGGAGGCGTGTGAATCGGGGAGCGTATTCGAAGGGCTTCTAAAGGACGATCTTAATATATACGCGGTGACGGCCGCAAACGCCGAAGAGAGCAGCTGGGGTTACTACTGCCCGATTTATTATCCCTTCCCTCCGACCGAATACGATACTTGTCTCGGCGACGTATTCAGCATTGCTTGGCTCGAGGACAGGTATTCTACGCGTCCTTTCGACTCGGTTTCTGCAGCGTTTTAGCGGATTCTAAAGAGAAGTTTCCGCGACAAAAAGATCCCATTTCTTAATGAACTAATCACTTGTATATGAAGATTTTGATTGAACAAAATGTTCCAATCGTTCCTATATGTCGTGGAAACATTCAGTCATCGGCGAAAAGTCGATAATTTCGTCACAAAATGGGTTTTTTTTGCGCGATATTTACGTCCATTTATCGTTCTTTTTGACAGTGACTTGCATGACATGGGCACCGAGACTTTGAAGGAGCAATATGAAGTGGTATGAATTGGCGACTGATTATGAATTTCGTTGATGATGATATAACATGTAGTGAAACCCGAGATCGATAACACGAAAGGTGATAGGACATATATCTATCTATCCATCTTGACAAAGTGGTATATATATGATCAACAGGTGAAAAGAAGAACGGGATTCGATCAAATAGAGGAAACGTCTCACGTAATGCGTTATGGAACTCAGTCTCTTCAAGAGGATTATCTCATCTCTTACATCGGAAACAATCCTTTGAACCAGAACATCACTACCAACGGGTTTGTCTCTTCTTCTGTGTCCCCGACAAGATCCGTCAATCAACGCGATATCCGTCTCTTGTATCTTCGACGAAAGGTGATACCTTCAATACAATGCCCGAAAGATTTTGACATGTAAATCTTGACCCTTCGTCCATATATATATATGTAAAGAAAATGCGACGATTTTTATCGAATTATGGAGATCTTCGCAGATGCATAAAGCTCCCAAAGGATCTTGGCAAAGAGAAGAAGCAAAGAGGAAATTGTTGGAGGAAATTAATCAAAGAAAACAAATCGACCGAAGCATTACAAAGATTCTGCAAACTACGCTTCGGGAAACTAATGTCTCGAACGTTCTAATGTCCACTCGAAGAACAGGACAACCTCTTGTCGATGATTGGGACTGCTTCAAGACTTTGGTAAATCATCATTTACCCGCATGATCGAAACCCTAATTGTCGAAACCTTTAACCGAGCCATGCACCGATATATAATCGATTCTAAAACGGATACATGCAGGTTAACAGTTTCAAGAAATATTGCGGCGCATCGGTGAACTACGGGCTGAAGTATGCGGGAGCGCTTGCGAACGTTTGCAATATGCGAACGAACGCAGACAGAACGGTTTCGGCGATTAAACGAGTTTGCCACGATGAGACTGTTCGTTCTTCGAATTGATTATGTGGACTGATACAGACAATATATATACACACATAAATGATTGAATAAAGTATGGTCGAGGCTTATACCCTTTGATTGAGTTTGCCCATATGAAATGAGGATATACTTAGATTAATAAAACCGTATATAAAAAAATATATGAAGAATATTGAGCATTTTTATCTTTTTATTTTCCGTTTTCGAGGGTGCAGCCATAAACGCCGATTTAAATTACGTAATAAAGATTTACATTATTACATAAAAAATATGTGAAAGTGATGTCTTAGTATTAATCCATTCTCTCTCTTTTCTCACGAAACTTCAATTTAGAAATAGAATTTTTTTTTTATCAACAGTTTTTTGTTAAATGTCATGCCAAAATAAATTCATATGTTCAAAAGTAAGGGATGGATAATAATATAAAAATTACTCGCAAGTTACTCAAAATCGGCTGGCTCAACTGGTAATATATTCACATGGATTTCTTTATTCTTTTGAAAGATTTAATTGGGATGGCTAGATGAATTTTTGGATTATTAAAAAAATTATTCCAAAGTTGGGTAATTCGGGTCATACGGATCCGTTATAGAACACTAATGTTTAGTTCCCCTGATATTTATAAAACTTTATGAAATTACCATTAGTTTCTCTTACGAATTCGAGCTTGAGTATCAGGATATACGTACCGAAATGTACTTACCAAAAACCGAATATTCGACATGTTCGCATATGAGTTCGGGGTAGTAATCTAAAAAGTTAAAAAAAAAACTCATATCTTGTTTTTTTTATTTTCTCTCAAAAAGATGGTAATTTCTCTCCTCGCACAACATAATTTTATTGAAGTAAAAAAAAATCATAATTGTCTGCTAAGTTAACTGTTCGGTTGAAAAAAAAAATCGGACAAAAAATTATATATTTAGCCCGATTGATAGGTATTTTTCCTAATCGTCTAAAACCAAAATGTCATAGTCCGAAATAAATTAAAAAGGACAAAACTAAATAAGTCAAAAATCGAAGTCAAATGTGCGACGGTCAACAAACAAACCGTCAAATAGACACTTGTCCTAAATCGGAATATCCGAATCATCACACCCTTTAATAGAAATGTCATCTGTACGGTACGGACATCGTCCTTGTTACTAAAAATAGTATTCACACGAAATTTGGTAAACACAGACTGACAAAAATTCTCGGCTTAAACCTGTTTTAAAAAGACAACATCTTTGTCTCCGGGGAGATTAATTCATTAAGACAAAAGAAAAAATACGAGGCCTTTGCAATTATCATTGTGAAAAAGGCCTTCTTCCTTGCAAGATTGCTTCAATTGCATATGATTCATGCAAGTTCTTCTTCTTGATGATATTTTAAAATCTTTTCATGAAAATAAATTTTGTCCCATTTTTGTAGATACTTTTTTTTTTCCTTATTGATTTCTTCTTCTTTTCCGTTCCGAATCTTTAGCGCTCAATCGCAAACTCGAGTTTATTCTCATCGTTTTTCAATCCATTCTATTTTAGGGTTATTTGTTTTAACTCGTTCATAATGTTTTACAACACGATGATTGGGCTCCGGTTCATCAAACGCCTCAAGAACATGGAGAAATCATCATCATCCTCCAACGACAAGCGTCGTCGAGTTTTGCAATATAACCCTAGCTTGAAGGAAAGCTTACTGTTAGCCGGCGAATCGTCGGACGGAAGCAGCTTGGTGAAACGGGGAAACGCTATCCCGAAAGGGCACTTGGCAGTGTACGTAGGCGACGGACAGCAAAGGTTTGTGATCCCGACGAAATGTCTTTCGTGTCCCGATTTCAAGGATTTGATGGACGAAGCAGCCGACGAATTCGGATACGACCACGAGGGAGGGATTCATATTCCGTGTGAGGAGGATACCTTCAAACAAATTTTGCTTAGATGCATCTCTAACGGCAAGAAGAAAACTTATGTGTAGCTCATAAGATTGGCTCGGATATGTATATGAATCTCACAATGGTTTTAAAAAAAAACTATATCTAAAGATTTTTTTGTGAACGTTTTGTTGGATTTGGCCTAGTTGTACCACAGTTAGTAGATATAATGATATAATATATGGTTTTATGCAACCAATATTAAAAAAGGCTCATGTTCATGAATAAAGATAACAAGAAGAGATCTCTTAAATTACTTTGGTATAGGAATGATATTTCACAAGAAGGATGCACATGGAAATCGGAAGATATATATATATATATATATATATATATATATATATATATATATATGAGGATTATTCCCAACAGCCATGGCCCATGTTGAGGAAATTGAACATTTATTATCGAACTTACATAATCAATGGTGGTGGTAATAATTTGTCGTATTATATATACTTTTTTTATATATATATTTTACTAATGCAATATATTAAATTTTTTATTCTTAAAAGTGTTTATTTAATTATTTTCTTGGAAAACTGCAAAAAATATCGTAATTTTGTATGCCCCAAATGTTTTAAACCCTCATTTTTCATACCCATACTTTTAATAATTCAATTTCTAGTACCTAACCTTTCTCAAATAATGCAAATTTACCTCTTTCTTTAATTGTAATAAATTAAGTGATATCATTTCATATTTTTATAAGATTTGGGTATTGAAACATATAATTATTAATTCATTTAAAAATCTAAAAAAATCCGGAATACCGATCGAGATGGACAAAATCTCTGCCACTATATGAATCAAAGAGACAGTGAAAGGACAAATTGTAGGCATCCGAATGAAGAACGGAAGGACAAATTGAACCAAGTCATAAGGCCAAAACTTTGCCATCTATAGCCTTTGGTACAATGAGAAGGAAAAAAAAAAGAAACACCAAAGCTTTTTATTTTATAAAAGCATTCGATTAAAACATTAGTTATCAAATAAATATAAATAAAACATAATTCTTGTATCTATGTCTAAAAAAAATTATATCTATTAAATTATTTATTTCAATCAATATTTTTTATAGCGATACACTTATATAATAACAATATTTAAAGTAAATTTAAATAAGTTTTTATATCTTATTTATTTATGTTCTTGGATATTTAGATTTTAACTGTATATTTTTTAAAATTAAAGGTATTTTCTTAATTTTTAAAAAATATAATAATAGTCATTCAACCTCGTCTCTCATTGGTCAGAATAAGTTCCTCTTTTTTCTTTATTTGGTTGGAGTAGAGAAAACGAAGAAGATATTTCCAAAAAATAAATAAAAGAAGAAGATATTTTTTCTTTTAAAAAAAAGCCCAAAAAACAATAGTGAGGTGTTTCAATCAAGCGGGACTTCTGGTCTTTTCCCAGACAAGTGGCCTTTGCAATGGTAAAGGCGCCTCGCTTTTAGCAAATTCCAATTCCAAAACCCCCCCACAATCAAAACAGAAAGGGAAAAAGCCCTAAAAAATCCTGAACTTGCAAAGTGCGAGAAAATAAATTCCTAAACTTGCGAGCGTGCCAAATAATTCCTGAACTTGAAAAAAGTGATTTAATAAATCCTAATCTTGTTAAAAAGTGCCAGATGAATATTTGACCAATTTTGACTGAAACTCAATCCTACGTGTATTGTGATGTGCGAAGCCACGTCAGATTTTATTTCCACGTGCGCAGAAGGTGGTTTTGATAAATCGGGTTTAGGGAATAAATGAGATTGAATTGAACCGGGTTTTATAATGTTAAACCGGATTGAAAAAACAAACCCTAAATCTATTTTTACCCCCAAATCGACAAACTCCACCGAAACCTAACTCTCTTCAACTCTCTCATCATAATCAGTGCACCCTCCGAAATACACATTCACTGTAAGCCTGTAAATTCGCAGCCGAAGAAGAACACAACAGAAAAAAATCGCGGTCAAATATCATTGTAAATCTGTCCAACACGAAAATTTTGCACACATGTTTGTTGAAATCTTGAAGAGCCCATGACGAAAATACTCACCTCATGGCCAGAAGATGACAGTCACAGAACTAAGCTCGCCGTCGAAGAAGGAGACAGTACGAACGCCAAATCGCCGCCGACTGAAGAGAGACGACACCGCTTCCTGAAGAGAACAACGCCGCCTAAAGAAGAAAGAGACGCCCACTCACGACGACGAAATCGCCGGCGATTTCTTCAAAAATCGCTGATGATGGAGGACGCACGATTGGGTTTTGATCTCAGGACTCAGATTTGGTAAAGGTAAATTTAGGGTTTTTTATTAGCATTTACTGAACCAGGATTTTACTATTCAAACCGATTTTATTGAACCGGTTTTCTAAAACTCGATTCTGATTACATGGCTAAAAAATCCTACGTGTCACCCGCCACGGAGGACTCAAAATCATATTATTCTAATAATTTTATATTAAGGACTATTATGACACTTTTTAACAAGATTAGGATTTATTAAGTCACTTTTTTCAAGTTCGGGAATTATTTGGCACGCTCGCAAGTTCAGAAATTTATTTTCTCGCACTTTGCAAGTTCAGGATTTTTTAGGGCTTTTTCCCAAAACCCCCCACAATCAAAACACAAAAAATAAAGGGGGAGAACAAAAACCCTAAATTTTCTTTTGGGGTAACAGGAATTTAGCAATCAAGCAGCAGCAGCGATTTCAATTTAAAAAGTCCCATCCTTTTTTGTTGACAATGTATTTGTGATTGGATCCAATAGCTTCCGTGAGACAGGAACGTCTGGGATAGGGTTTTTGTTCCTCCCCCTGACAAAAACGTTCCTCCCGATTCTCTTTCGGCTTTTGTTTGGATCTTTAATCTTCTGGGTTTTGCCGGAATCTGATTTTTTCGCTCTAAAGTTTCTCGCTTTTTTGCCCTTTTGTTGATCTCTGTGACTGAAAAGAGTTCTCGGGACAGTGTCTGAATCATGGCAATGGTGGTTCCTAAAGAAGGACTCGAAGTTATGGTGAAGGAAACAGTTTCTTCACCTCCGTCGGTTCCTCCTGTTCGTCTGCAGCTTCAATTCCCTGATCTCACAGTTCCAATTAGAGTGAGTTCTCCTTTTTTTCCCTTTGGTTCCGAAAAAAATTAAAATTTATGGGCATGGAAACCTTTGAAACCTCTGAAGAAAAGAACTCAGATTGTTGGGAAATTTGTGACGAAGCTTGTTGTGAATGTCTCTGTCTTGTGTTCTTGTATGTGATCATGTGGATGGATATGCAGATGAAGGGAAATACAGTGGGACCTTGTTACTTTGATCTCTTTTTGGACAGATTCAAGTGTCGGATTCATCTGGTTCTTAACGTTGTTCTTTATGTTTTTTGAATCGTTTTAGTCTCTGTTCTGTTTTTTTATTCAGGAGTTCTTCAACTCTAGAGAAGCCCGTGAATTTCTTAGCGGGGCTTTAGCAGGAGCCATGACTAAAGCTGTTCTTGCTCCATTGGAGACAATAAGGTTTGCAAAGTCTCTGCAATGAAATACAATGTGATGTTGAATTAGGATTTGAGGTTTATGGCATAACCCATCTCGGTAATGTGTGATGTGATCAATCTCTTAGGACAAGAATGGTGGTTGGTGTTGGGTCCAAAACCATTTCGGGTAGCTTTCTCGAAGTCATCGAGATGCAGGGGTGGCAAGGTCTTTGGGCAGGCAATGCAATTAATATGATTCGTATAATTCCCACTCAAGCTATCGAGTTGGGGACGTTCGAGTGTGTTAAGCGTGCCATGACATCGGCACAAGAGAAGTTCAGCCAGATTGAGTACCCGAAGATTAAGATTGGCGAAATTAGTTTCAGTCCTTCCCTGTCATGGATCTCACCCGTTGCGGTGGCTGGTGCAGCCGCAGGTATTGCCAGTACGCTCGTTTGCCATCCTCTCGAAGTCCTGAAGGGATTTGGTTCGTGAAAGAAAAGCTAAAATCGTCACTATTTTATATATGAAACACGGCCACTGAAATTGAGGTTTCTTCGATTTTTTCTCAGGATAGGTTAACTGTGAGCCCCGACTTATATCCGAGCTTAAACATTGCGGTTGGAAAGATCTTCAGGGAGGATGGAATTGGCGGCTTTTATGCCGGATTATCGCCTACATTAGTCGGGATGCTCCCGTACAGCACATGTTATTACTTCTTGTATGACACAATGAAGACATCTTACTGCAAATCCAAAAACAAAAAAGCTCTAAATCGCCCAGAGATGCTTGTTCTCGGGGCTCTGGCGGGTAAACAAGCAACTTACGACTGCGTTCTTTGCTATTTACAGGGTATTCTAATCGGACCCGTTTCGTGATTGGATCTCAGGACTAACTGCGAGCACGATAAGCTTCCCGTTGGAAGTGGCGAGAAAGAGGCTGATGGTGGGAGCGCTGCGGGGGAAATGCCCACCTAACATGGCGGCTGCGTTAGCGGAAGTGATGAGGGAAGAGGGCATGATGGGGCTTTACAGAGGATGGGGAGCGAGTTGTCTGAAAGTGATGCCGTCTTCGGGCATCACTTGGATGTTTTATGAAGCATGGAAGGATGTTTTACTTTCTGACAAGCGACTTCTTCTATAACCAACAGAACTCAGCAAAGGACTTCAATCTTTTAGCCTAAGCTCTGTTACTTCTTGAAGGTCGTCGTCATCATCATCAAATTTAGGTAGATTGGAAGGGAAATGAGAGGCCGAGCCATATCCCCTTGAGATTCTGTGTTCTTTTATCGTCTTGGGTCTTGATTTTGATTTTCCTTCTTCGAGCTCTCTCTAACAGTTCAAATTACATTATTGTTGCATTAGTTTTGGTGTTTTTATATAATAGTTTTTCTTTATCCATTGGTAAAAGAATAGAGTTTTAAAATTAATACTATATTTATATATTATTGTTGCAAATTAAAAACAAATAAATTAATAGAAATTATAAATTTGTTGGATACTTTTTATAAAAAACCTTGAAAATTTATATGATTTATGGATATTTGAAATTTTAATCCAATATTTTTACAAAGTTAAAGGGTTTTTTTGTTGTTGTTTTTCCAAAAAATGGCTAAAAAATCCTACGTGTCACCCGCCACGGAGGACTCAAAATCATATTATTCTAATAATTTTATATTAAGGACTATTATGACACTTTTTAACAAGATTAGGATTTATTAAGTCACTTTTTTCAAGTTCGGGAATTATTTGGCACGCTCGCAAGTTCAGAAATTTATTTTCTCGCACTTTGCAAGTTCAGGATTTTTTAGGGCTTTTTCCCTTAAAAATATATAAAACTAAACCATATATATATGCATTCGTTTTTTTTTGACATATATACTTTTTTTGGTTCTTAACCAAAGTGGCGTAGGAGAGGGAATGGATTTTATTGTTTCAAGCGTCGAAGCATACATCGGGGCATTGAACAACATGTTGGGGAATAAGGATGAATCCTCACAGACATCTAATCCGTAGAGACAAACAGTCTTGTAATAAAATGCATGTCTCTTCAATCATATATATATACACTACAAAAAAACTGTTATTTTGCAACGAAAAATTTTCGTTGCAAAGTAATTTCGTTGCAAAATGGCTTTTGTAGTGATATATATATATTCAGAGATAATAATTGTATTTGACGCATGCATGCATGTGATGATTTATGTACGAGCACGAAATAAGGAGGAAGAGAAGCAGAGAGTCAAGAATGGAGTGTACATGCAAGAACACCTGCTCACGAGATTGGAATATATGTGTACATGAACTGAGAATTCTGAGCAATGAATTATTCGGTTTCAAATAAATTTGCCGTACAAAATATCAACTGCATGCATTTTGTATGTAAAATAAAAATAAAACTTTGGCCAACATTTTCAGTCAAAGTCAACGCATTGACTAAGACCGTCCGAACCACCGCTTGTAAAGGCAACCACGTCGGGCGTAGTGGCAGGCGTCGAAGTGGTAATCACGTAATTAAGGGGTTAAACACCTGCCACGTGGTGTTATCATATTGCAAGAAAATACAAAAACAAAACCGTTCATTGTGTATGTATATATGTATGTAAGAAGAAACGACAATTACCAAACGTCATATTTGATATGACATTCAATTTGATTTTTGATTGGATTGGTTATAGCTAGCCATTACTAAATGATTTTAACCCGAAACATATTTATTTTTTTTCTATAAGTTTTAAATTAATTACATCATAGAATTTCTTTTTATATTATGTTTATTATTTTTTATCACGTTTAAAAGTTTTTAATCACATGGTGTTGGAGAATTGGAGAATTGAACAATTAGATAATTTTTTCAATTTTATTTTTATTTGTGAACTAAATGATTTTGTTGTTATCGGTTTTAAAAATATTTTTGTTGAATGTTTCATATTATTATTATTATTATTATTATTATTATTATTGTTAT